CCATCAGCTATTTAAAAGTTATTACAGTTATATACCAGCTATAAAGATAGCCCCATCTAACAAACCTTACAAACACCTTCCACCGCCAAACGAAAGCATTTACTGTAGCTACGCAGGTGTGGTAACTTTTCTCATGGTCAGTAACCGTTCGAAAACCAGTTGGTAACTTCTCTATTTGCAAAACCAAATTAAATCAAATTTTATTTGTCACATTCACGTGTTTAGCAGATGTTATTGCAGGTGTAGCGAAACGCTTGTGCTTCTAGCTCCGACAGTGCAGTAATATCTAACAAGTAACAACATATACCCAATACACACAATATAAGTAAGGAATGGAATTAAGAATATATACATATATGGACGAGCAATGACAGAGCGGCATGGACTAAGATACAGTAGAATATTATATAATACAGTATATACATATGAGATGAGTAATGCAAGATATGTAAACATTATTAAAGTGACTAGTGTTCCATTTCTTAAAGTGGCCAGTGATTTCTAGTCTATGTCTATATGCAGCAGCCTCTAATGTGCTTGTGATGGCTATTTAACAGTCTGATGGCCTTGAGATAGAAGCTGTTTTTCAGTCTCTCGGTCCCAGCTTTGATGCACCTGTACTGACCACGCCTTCTGGATGATAGCGGGGTGAACAGCAGTGGCTCAGGTGGTCGATTATCTTTTTGGCCTTCCTGTGACATCGGGTGCTGTAGGTGTCCTGGAGGGCGGGTAGTTTGCCCCCAGTAATGCATTGGGCAGACCGCACCACCATCTGGAGAGCCCTGCAGTTGCGGGCAGTGAAGTTGCCGTACCAGGCGGTGATACAGCCCGACAGGACGCTATCAATTGTGCATCTGTAAAAGTTTGTGAGGGTTTTAGGTGCAAAGCCAAATTTCTTCAGCCTCCTGAGGTTGAAGAGGATCTGTTGTGCTTTCCTTCAACACACTGTCTGTGTGGGTGGACCATTTCAGTTTGTCAGTGATGTGTACGCCAAGGAACTTGAAGCTTTCCACCTTCTCCACTGCGGTCCCGTTGATGTGGATAGGGGGGTGCACCCTCTGCTGTTTCCTGAAGTCTACGATCATCTCCTTTGTTTTGTTGACGTTGAGTGAGAGGTTATTTTCTTGGCACCACACTCCCAGAGCCCTCACCTCCTCCCTGTAGGCTGTCTCGTCATTGTTGGTAATCTAGCCTACTACTGTTGTGTCATCTGCGAACTTGATGATTGAGTTGGAGGCGTGCTTGGCCATTCAGTCATGGGTGAACAGGGAGTACAGGAGTTGGCTGAGCATGCACCCTTGTGGGGCTCCTTTGTTGAGGATCAGCGAAGTGGAGGTGTTGTTTCCCACCTTCACCACCTGGGGGCGGCCCGTTAGGAAGTCCAGGACCCAGTTGCAGAGGGCGGGGTTCATACCCAGGGCCTCAAGCTTAATTACATTTACATTTTCGTCATTTAGCAGACGCTCTTATCCAGAGCGACTTACAAATTGGTGCATTCACCTTATGATAGCCAGTTGGACAACCACTTTACAATAGTTTATTTTTATTTTTTTATGGGGTGGAGTAAGGGGGGGGGGTAGAAGGATTACTTTATCCTATCCCAGGTATTCCTTAAAAAGGTGGGGTTTCAAGTGTCTCCGGAGGTGGTGAGTGACTCCGCTGTCCTGGCGTCGTGAGCAGCGAACAGTTTTGTCTGGGCTGAGCGGGAACTGTGCTTCCGCAGAGGTAGGGGAGCCAGCAGGCCAGAGGTGGATGAACGCAATGCCCTCGTTTGGGTGAATGATGAGCTTGGAGGGTACTATGGTGTTGAATGCTGAGCTATAGTCAATGAACAGCATTCTTACATAGGTATTCCTCTTGTCCAGATAGGATAGGGCAGTGTGCAGTGTGATGGCGATTGCATCGTCTGTGGATCAATTGGGGCGGTAAGCAAATTGAAGTGGGTCTAGGGTGACAAGTAAGGTAGAGGTGATATGATCCTTGACTAGTCTCTCAAAGCACTTCATGATGACAGAGGTGAGTGCTACAGGGCGATAGTCATTCAGTTCAGTTACCTTTGCCCTCTTGGGTACAGGAACAATGGTGAACATCTTGAAGCAAGTGGGGACAGCAGAGTGGGATAGGGAGAGATTTAATATATCCGTAAACACTCCAGCCAGCTGGTCTGCGCATGCTCTGAGGACGCGGCTAGTGATGCCGTCTGGGCCGGCAGCCTTGCGAGGGTTATCACGCTTAAATGTCTTACTCACGTCAGCCACGGAGAAGGAGAGCCCACAGTCCTTGGTAGTGGGCCGCGTCAGTGGCACTGTGTTATTCTCAAAGCGGGTGAAGAAGGTGTTTAGCTTGTCCGGAAGCAAGACGTCGGTGTCGACGACTTGGCTGGTTTTCCTTTTGTAGTCCGTGATTGTTGGAAAACCCTGACACATACGTCTCGTGTCAGAACCGTTGAATTGCGACCCCACTTTGTCTCTATACTGACGTTTTGCCTGTTTGATCGCCTTGCGGAGTGAATAGCTACACTGTTTGTATTCTGCCATATTCCCAGTCACCTTGCCATGGTTAAATGCGGTAGTTTGCGCTTTGAGACATACAAGTTTTAACTGTTGAATTGTTCAGTTGAAAATGAAATATCTGTTGCTGTGTAACAACGTCCAGCAAAGATAATAATCACCTTCTTCAGTAGCCTATCTATCCCAACTCAACTGGACTGGAGAGTCAGACCCTTCTCAGGCATGGTCTTAACAGCCTTGCAGCTCTCCTAGCAGAACAGATAATTCCAGCTCCAAGCCCACCGTGGTGAAACAACAGGTGGTTAGTTAGTCTGCCTTACCTCTGAGCCAGCGCAACAAGAAGTGGTCATGCTGAGCAGGAAGTAGTGGAAGAACATCCTGAATCCTCTCTCGAAACTGCCCAAGGATAAAACAGGGTGGCAGAGATAGAGAGAGAGGGGCAGTGAGAGAGAGAGAGGCAGTGAGAGAGGCAGTGAGAGAGAGAGAGAGAGAGAGGCAGTGAGAGAGAGAGAGAGAGAGCAGTGAGAGAGAGAGAGAGAGAGAGAGGCAGTGAGAGAGAGAGAGAGAGAGGCAGTGAGAGAGAGAGAGAGAGGCAGTGAGAGAGAGAGAGAGAGAGAGAGAGAGAGAGAGAGAGAGAGAGAGAGAGCCAAAAGGGGTATAGGTGTTTTAGTGATGATGCACACATGGGTTTAGTGGTAAACATGAAAGCAAGCATGTGAAATGAATTGTTATAAGAAAACCACAGCGACCTGCTGCTATATAACATGAAAGCTTCAGACTTGTGTGTGGAAGTTAATCTCTTAAAACAAAGCACATTGGTCACAGTAAATTCAATAGAGTTTTTCAACTCACATCTCAGTTTCATTTCCTAAAATATATCCGATTAAACTAAAATCATACACAAGAACCAAACATTTCAAGGGAGATACATATACTAAATTCTTTACAGTAAACTGTAATTACATAAAAAAGTATTAATTATTAATAACATGAGAATTCATGTAATAATAGGCTTAGGGTAGATTTTAAACCCAGTTAGGTGGTTACATCATTTTAATCACCAATCAACTTTTGTGACCCGTATTACAGAGAAACCTCAGAAGGAAAAACTTGATAAAATACATAAATAGGTGACAGCGTATTGCAGCCATGACATCTTCCTACAGATAGTCATATACCGTAACGTGCATTGCAGCCAAGATAGGAAGGTTCAAAGTTCCAACAGCATCGATGACCGTCAGATCGTCAAACAGAAATAAATGCGACACAGATACAGAAATATACAGTACAGAAATTCACCTCCTCCAATGCCTCAGCCTGCTTCGGATTTAGGTCGCCAACCCTGCCACTCATCACGTCCGTCAAAGCAAAACAAAATACAATAACAGTTTTTATTCTGTCAATGGAAGTTGAAGACCAGAAGAGGAAGCCACGCACTTTTCTGTCCTCGTCGCTGGACTAATCGCTCTGTGTGATGCTGCTCTACGAGGGCGCTGTTATCCTCTTCATCCCTGTCAGTCATTCGTAAAAACCAGTGACTGTATCAAAGACAGTACACTATGAAGATAGGCTAAAACTGCTTCTCCAGTAGAAATCCCCGAGCACATTTGTTGGCAATGTCATGGCGACCTTTGGCTCGGCAAGCTCAAGCGTAGAAACACTTTCGGGTCTAACGGTCGTCTCGTGCCGAACTACGCATGTGCACGCCGTCAAATCAACGGCACTCAATATAAAGTTGTTTTTGACGAAAATGAAAACTTGTCAGTTTGTCACTTTTACGAGGTTGGAGTACCAACATGTCCAACTACGTAAGACATTGGCTCTAATCTAGGTTGTATCTTTAGATTTTTAGAAAATTAACAACTAAGGAATACTTTTTAACTTCTATCATTGACTTCTCAAACCCCAAACCCCGGCCTGGTCTGTTTGGTCTGTTTCTCAAGAGTTCCCGGAAGTCTCGCAATGTTGCGCATCTGGGTTTAGAAACTCTGTGAACGTAAAAAGTGTAAACACGAGAGGACACGCCCATTTAAAGGGCCAGTATCCCAACCGGATCCTTTTTTTAAAAAACGGTATTTTATGTAGGAAAGTCAGTTAAGAACAAATTCTTATTTACAATGACGGCCTACCCCGGCTAAACCCCGGACGACGCTGGGCCAATTGTGCGCCACCCTATGGGACATCCTACTATGTCCAGCGTTCACACTTTGCAGTGGATTCATTCAAAATAATAATAAAACATACCATCGCAAGTTGTTTTTATGCAACCCAATAAAACTTGGGTTTGCATCAAAAAAATTAAATAAACATTAACAGCTACATACAATGCAGTGTCAGTCTACACCTTGCATTTGGGTCTCGAAACAAGCACAATACACAGCTTTCTTATTATTGTTATATATTCACTAAAACAATACTTTTCTCAATTTCCCAGTAGATGGCAGATTTGCAAGCAAACGTCAAACTCACACATCTCAGCTTCCTGTTCGACAGGAAGTAGTGTTCTTGCTTACATTTTTTGGGTCCAAGCGAAGTAGCACAATAACTTAGTGGTTCTGTAAAACAATGGTTGACAGTTGATAAGGATTATTTATTTTAAAGTAATTTTAATTTACGGGTTTTTTCGGCCATGTCTGCAAGCTGCTGCTGGTGCTATTTAACCGTGGTGTTTCTGGTCTCGGCTCCTTCGTTCTTGTCGTGTCTGCTAGTGAAGGGCGCTCAGGTCGCCTTGGTGGAGGTTCTGCTGAGAGAACGTCGGGACGTCAGCACCGTTCTACAAGGCGAGGTGCTCGAGGCGACCTGGGAAAGCAGCAGCGTCCCCGAAAAACACAATCAACAACAAGAGCATGATCTCGAAGGGGACCTCATATTAGTGAGTGATGTTACAGCTAGCTCTGCTAAGTAAAACCACTGGATTTGTATTTGTAACATGATATGGATCTAAACATTACTGTTATGAGAAAATAACAGTGTATGTATACAGTAATTGATATTGTCAAGCAAAAGCTTCAAATGTGTTATGTTCACCATTGCATTTTGAATCATCAAGCATACAATGTCTGCATAGGATAAGTCTATATTACCCAGTAATAATCATATAATGACCCCAGTGTTTCCAATTGCCATTGGTCAGGTGCAGGATGAGGAGCCGCAAGTGAGCCGGGGCAAAGGTGGGGGTGTCCAAGCCAAAGACCAGGAGCCATGGATAGGTGTGGTGCCTGTCAAAGTGGAGGAGAGCAAAGCTTCCACTGCCGGGAACAGTCAGGAATCCTTTGCTGCTGCCGTTGTCAATAAAGTGAGTTCAGGGACAAAAAAAGACCATGATTTTGGGTATTTTCACAAAATGTAATCCATAGAATGATTCTTTGAAGGAAGGATTGTTGACATTTGTATCTAAAAGCATAATTGGCCTTAGCTAGGCCTCCTTTAAGACTCCAAGAGTGTGCAAAGCTGTCATCAAGGCAAAGGGTGGCTATTGGAAGAATCTCAAATATAAAATATATTTTGATTTGTTTAACACTTTTTTGTTTACTACATGATTCCATATGTGTTATTTCATAGTTTTGATGTCTTCACTATTATTCTACAATGTAAAAAATTGTAAGAATAAAGAAAAACCCTTGAATGAGTAGGTGTGTCCAAACTTTTGACTGGTAGTGTATATTGTTGAACATAATATGCTCAGTGGTTCCCAACCAGGGGTACTAGGACCCCTGGGGGTACTTGGCCTATCCACAGGGGGTACTTGAGAAGACTCATGAGACCATAGGCTTAAAAAATGCACATAAGGGGGTACTTCAGGGGTACTCAAATCAAAATCAAATCAAATTTTATTGGCCACATGCGCCGAAATACAACAGGTGTAGACATTTGTAAGTCGCTCTGGATAAGAGCGTCTGCTAAATGACGAAATTGTAAAAAATGTAAAATGCTTACTTACAGCCCTTAACCAACAATGCATTTATTTTTTAATAAAAAAGTAAAATAAAACAACAAAAAAGTGTTGAGAAGAAAAGAGCAGAAGTAAAATAAAATAACAGTAGGGAGGCTATATATACAGGGGGGTACCGGTGCAGAGTCAATGTGCGGGGGCACCGGCTAGTTGAGGTAATATGTACATGTGGGTAGAGTTAAAGTGACTATGCATAAATAATTAACAGAGTAGCAGCAGCGTAAAAATATGGGGTGGGGGGCAGTGCAAATAGTCCGGGTAGCCATGATTAGCTGTTCAGGAGTCTTATGGCTTGGGGGTAGAAGCTGTTGAGAAGTCTTTTGGACCTGGCACTCCGGTACCGCTTGCCGTGCGGTAGCAGAGGGAACAGTCTATGACTAGGGTGGCTGGAGTCTTTGACAATTTTGAGGGCCTTCCTCTGACACCGCCTGGTATAGAGGTCCTGGATGGCAGGAAGCTTGGCCCCAGTGATGTACTGGGCTGTATGCACTATCCTCTGTAGCGCCTTGCAGTCGGATGCCGAGCAGTTGCCATACCAGGCGGTGATGCAACCAGTCAGGATGCTCTCGATGGTGCAGCTATATAATTCTTTGAGGATCTGAGGACCCATGCCAAATCTTTTCAGTCTCCTGAGGGGGAATAGGCTTTGTCGTGCCCTCTTCACTACTGTCTTGGTGTGTTTGGACCATGATAGTTTGTTGGTGATGTGGACACCAAGGAACTTGAAGCTCTCAACCTGTTCCACTACAGCCCCATCGATGAGAATGGGGGCGTGCTCAGTCCTCTTTTTTTCCCCTGTAGTCCACAATCATCTCCTTTGTCTTGGTCACGTTGAGGGAGAGGTTGTTATCCTGGAACCACACGGCCAGGTCTCTGACCTCCTCCCTATAGGCTGTACTCCGGGCAGAGCAAACATTCAGTTGGTGATATAGTAACCGAAAAAGGTTGGGATCCACTGCTCTATGGGCATATCAAAGTTCAAGAGTGGGATCTCTGCTACTTTTAACGTTATGATCCAATTTGTAAGCATTACCAACAGTGAATGTGAAAATGGATTCAAAATTGTAAGCCCATAACTTTCAAACCAGCAGAGAGCACACTCTGGAACTTTGATATGCCCGTAGAGTATATTATGTTCAACATTAAATTTCAAAAGAATTGCCACATTTTTCTATAATCATAAATGAATGTCAAGAAATTGTTATTGAAATAGAAATACTACTCATATTACAGAGCAAGTGGTAAAGCTTCATATGACACAAATTGTAGCTTTGTAGCGCCTACAGATTAAACATTATGGAGTCTTGAAGGAGGCCTGGGTAAGGCCGAAATGTCATAAATATGCCAACTTTGATCAATTATTTCTCAATTATGCTTTTAAATACAAATGTCAAATATACAATGACTATACCAAACATTAGGAACACCTTCCTAATATTGAGTTGCGCAACCTCCCCTCCCCAATCCATGTCTCAATTCTTTAACCGGTCTCCTCCCCTTCATCTACACTGATTGAAGTGGATTTAACAAGTGACATCAATAAGGGATCATAGCTTTCACCTGGTCAGTCTGTCATGGAAAGAGCAGGTGTTCTTAATGTTTTGTATACTTAGTGTGTCAACAATCCTTTCTCCAAAGGATCATTCTATGGATTCAATTTAGTGATAATCCCCTAAATCTATTTTTGTCCTGGTTTTGTGAGGAATCACTCACATGGTCATGGGAAGAACAGTCAGTGCACTGTTTTGTTGAATAATTTGTATATTTGGTGAAAGAAGTGTTGAGACACACGACAAACTATACCCTGATCAGTGAGAGATCAATAACTTTCTGAATGTTGTATCTGTTCTTCAGCACCACAGAGTTTCACCTACGGTTGCAAAGGGAGGGTATACAGTGGGGAGAACAAGTATTTGATACACTGCCGATTTTTCAGGTTTTCCTACTTACAAAGCATGTAGAGGTCTGTCATTTTTATCATAGGTACACTTCAACTGTGAGAGACGGAATCTAAAACAAAAATCCAGAAAATCACATTGTATGATTTTTAAGTAATTAATTTGCATTTTATTGCATGACATAAGTATTTGATCACCTACCAACCAGTAAGAATTCCGTCTCTCACAGACCTGTTAGTTTTTCTTTAAGAAGCCCTCCTGTTCTCCACTCATTACCTGTATTTACTGCACCTGTTTGAACTCGTTACCTGTATAAAAGACACCTGTCCACACACTCAATCAAACAGACTCCAACCTCTCCACAATGGCCAAGACCAGAGAGCTGTGTAAGGACATCAGGGATAAAATTGTAGACCTGCAGAAGGCTGGGATGGGCTACAGGACAATAGGCAAGCAGCTTGGTGAGAAGGCAACAACTGTTGGCGCAATTATTAGAAAATGGAAGAAGTTCAAGATGACGGTCAATCACCCTCGGTCTGGGGCTCCATGCAAGATGTCACCTCGTGGGGCATCAATGATCATGAGGAAGGTGAGGGATAAGCCCAGAACTACACGGCAGGACCTGGTCAATGACCTGAAGAGAGCTGGGACCACAGTCTCAAAGAAAACCATTAGTAACACACTACGCCGTCATGTATTAAAATCCTGCAGCGCACGCAAGGTCCCCCTGCTCAAGCCAGCGCATGTCCAGGCCCGTCTGAAGTTTGCCAATGACCATCTGGATGATCCAGAGGAGGAATGGGAGAAGGTCATGTGGTCTGATGAGACAGAAATAGAGCTTTTTGGTCTAAACTCCACTCGCCGTGTTTGGAGGAAGAAGAAGGATGAGTACAACCCCAAGAACACCATCCCAACCGTGAAGCATGGAGGTGGAAACATTATTCTTTGGGGATGCTTTTCTGCAAAGGGGACAGGACGACTGCACCGTATTGAGGGGATGATGGATGGGGCCATGTATCGCGAGATCTTGGCCAACAACCTCCTTCCCTCAGTAAGAGCATTGAAGATGGGTCGTGGCTGGGTCTTCCAGCATGACAACGACCCGAAACACACAGCCAGGGCAACTAAGGAGTGGCTCCGTAAGAAGCATCTCAAGGTCCTGGAGTGGCCTAGCCAGTCTCCAGACCTTAACCCAATAGAAAATCTTTGGAGGGAGCTGAAAGTCTGTATTGCCCAGCGACAGCTCCGAAACCTGAAGGATCTGGAGAAGGTCTGTATGGAGGAGTGGGCCAAAATCCCTGCTGCAGTGTGTGCAAACCTGGTCAAGACCTACAGGAAACGTATGATCTCTGTAATTGCAAAAAAAGGTTTATGTGCCAAATATTAAGTCCTGCTTTGCTGATGTATCAAATACTTATGTCATGCAATAATATGCAAATTAATCACTTAAAAATCATACAATGTGATTTTCTGGATTTTTGTTTTAGATTCCGTCTCTCACAGTTGAAGTGTACCTATGATAAAAATTACAGACCTCTACATGCTTTGTAAGTAGGAAAACCTGCAAAATTGGCAGTGTATCAAATACTTGTTCTCCCCACTGTATTACTGGACATTTACCAGGAAACTACCAGATGTTTTGTTTTAAATCAAGGATTTTATCAATGTAATCTATCACAAGATATCTAATGGCCCTTTTGGGTACTTCCGATTTTTACAGGTGTCTGTAATTATCTCTGGCCCGCTGTGTGGCCTTATCACATGTAAAAAATAGAATGACAATGCTGTAAAACGTTATCCTAAATATAAACCATCACCTTAGTGAATACTATTGGTGTTTAATGTGAGGGTTTCAGCATGAAACATCCTTTATTCTTTTACACACTTTTAACGCATGCAAATATATATCTGTGTGGATAAAGTAAGTCTGAAGTAAGTATAACCACTATCTCGCTTTGTTAGATGAAACGAGCGTTGGTCCTGGGGGCTTCTGCACTCATCATCCTAGCCCTCAATCAGAACACTGTCAGAGAGGTAAGAGTCATTTTCCTACACACTGGCTGTGTTAGTGCTGGGCTGGAGCAAAAGCCTGCACACCCTGTAGCTCTCCTGGACCCGTGTCGGTGCCCACTCCTATAGAGCATGACACCAATGTTGCTCTATAATTGTCAGCTGTTAGAGGAACCACTCCTCTACTACTGCTTTACAATACAACCCCCATAGAGATAGAACAATTATATATGGTCTATGACAACTACTATTCTCTCCTGGATTCTCCTTCTAGATGGATCTGTCCCAAGTCCTCTCTAAGCCAGTCATTGTCATCCAGACATCAGAAAATGTTACCAAGCTTATCGGAGCACTCCTCAGGTACCACAGTGATGGAAAACGAAACAATACTAGTCTACACAAGGATCCCTCTCAGTATAGCTTTGATCGTATGAATAGACTGTAGCATACTGACTAATATAGAGACACTGAGTGAGTTAACTCCGTGGTTTCTTTCATAGGGGCCTTCATGCTACTGCAAAAATCACATACAAGACTATTCTACAGGACAACTTGGTAAGATCATATTTTTGCCATAAACTTCATCACCTTAGAGAACAGCAAAATAGTCAGTCGGACATTTCCAGTTTTCTATGCACTTTATTGTCCAGCTCATGTTATTACTTTGGATGTGTGTAAAACCTCCTCTCTGGTGGTATTGTAGGGGGCCACCCTGACGTTGTGGTCCACGTGCGGTCTCTCCCGAGGTGGTCTGTATGGAGAGTGGCAGGGGGTCATCTGCACTGGAGAGACCAACTCACAGGTCCAGGTGTGAACACCATGGCATACTATCAAATGAATAGAATGTATAATAGGGACAACAAAATACATGATCAATGACATTGTAACCAAAGTAGTCCATCGGAAGGTCATCTGAATTTTACGCTACAACTCCTCACAGGCTAGAACTAGCAACTCACTGATCTGTGCAACTCATTGCTTTTTCATACATCTCTGTTGTGTGACAAGCGTAAACAAATGATTTAGAGGTAGGCTAACGTCAGTGCTCGGTCCTGTTATGGGTTGTCCTCCAGAAGTACCTGCATCAGCTGTGGAACACGGTCCTACTGGTGGCTCTTATCCTCTGTACAGGGGTCATAGTTCAGGCTCGATGGCAGTACCAGGACAACCAACTCAATGACGACCTGGAGGTAGAGCTTAAGCATTTTCCTCTTTTAATCATTCAGCAATTAGCAGGCACACTAATCTAGAGCAAATGTAAGTAAGCGCAGACACTGGACGACAGTATATCAGTGAGATGCTTCAAAGGTAATAATGTAGAAACATTCACCATAATATTAATGACTCAACCATTCTATATCCTACAGTTACCAAAACAGGACATCCTGAAGAGACTGTCGTCCCTGAAGACCAGGATGTACCGGTGGTGTGACCCAGCCCAGCTAGAGACCGACAACTGTGCCGTCTGTCTGGAACAGTTCACCAACAACCAGGTTGACTGACTGACTCCTGAGGGGTATACTACAAAGCAGGATCAAGGAGTTAGCCAGCTAACTTGTCTAAATATTCTGAAATGGCTTTTTTTTTTTTTTTTACAGATAAGCTTGAAATGGGCATGGTCGAATTGACTAAACAAAAAACACATATCCAAGTTTAGCTTTTTAACACTAGAACCGATGGGCCTCGAGGGACCCTCCTTCAAGCTAATGAGCAGTCATTCTGACTGCAACATTCTAACAGTGTAATTCATACATTTCATATATTCTATCGCAAAAATAATCATTTAGTTGTGTTTATGAAGGTCTTAGGTAACATTAGAACACAATTATTTTTAAATTTAAAATAATACAATAGCATTTTCTTTATTTTGTTACTGTAGGCTATATGTAAAAACAAAAAAAACACACATTCAAGTGTTCAATCAATTTTATTTGTGGAGTGCCTTAGTTACAACTATGAAACGGAAAGCATGTGTTGGAATGCGGTAACAGCTTATTTTTATTACGTCAAAATAAAATAAATACCCCAACCACCAAGACTCACGGTCAGCAAGACGTACGGTCAAATGATGAAAACATCAGTATCCTAAACATCATTATAAGCACCAAGTGTTCTTAATAAATAGTGAAAGTCGGCACAAAAGCAATAATTGCATTATAATGTGTCGATATGACAGCAGTCAAAAATAGTAAATGTCAGCTCGTGCTTACATGGTTTGCGTCTTCACGCAGTGGCATCAGTCGGAGAATGCCCATGTCACATAGGCAACGCACTCACCAACTTTTGTTGTTTATGTTGTTTTTTGCTTGAGGTGTAGGGCCTGCTCTTTGTGATGACATTTTGTGCTGATTGTCGTCCCATAGCATTGTCACCGGCTTGTTCTATCTATCTAAACGGTGCCGTCCCTTCCTCTCTCACCATTTCATTTGGTGGTGGCGCGGGCACCTGCTCAGTGCGCTTTTTTGCGCTTAGGACTTGGAGGTGTAGGTTCAGGCTGAGGCTCAGAATCAGAAGAATAATCATCAGAGATGTCATGATTAATTTCTGAGTCGTTTTCATTTAGATTTTGTAGTAACGCAGCATGTGCATCCATTCGTCTTGGTCTTCTTGTCATTGTAAATTACGCATGCTCTCACTGTGTACTCCAAGTAGGCCAGAGTAGACTGATAAGACTGCTTGGATTCGATGGACTGATATAGAGCCTTTCTCCCCCATCATACTTTACTTCATTTATTTCATCTGTTGTTATGTGTGAAATTAATTTCAGTATAGTTTCATGACAGTTATCGGTGTGATTATCAACTGGGCACGGCACCTTCCATCTGTCGGGAGAAGGGGGGGGGAGCAGGCCCTACTGTCGGGAGGAGGGGCAACCTCCATGACATGGGTTATAACTGTTATAAAATGGTTATAACTCCAGTTCTGTTTGTGATATTAAGATTCTAACAGCGACAGTGTGCTGTTATAAAGACTTATTTAGGAAAAGTCAAAGATGGAGGGGGGCATAACTTTAAAAATGGCAGTAATATTTTTTAAAAAATTCATTAGCAGTCCAAATGACTGCTTTAGCAATTCTAGCGTTAATGAACCAGAAAATCAACAGTTATTTTTGGCTTTTATTTAAAAAAAGTTAACTGGCCAACTAATTGATCCTGCTTTGTAGTATACCCCTCTGGAACTACATGGAAAGTAAGATGCATAAACATATACATTCTGTAAATTCGACTTTTAGACACAAGGGTTAGTAGTATGCTAACTCACCTGTGTGTTGCAGTGTCTTCGTGTGCTGCCCTGCCTCCATGAGTTCCACAGGGACTGTGTGGATCCGTGGTTGCTCCTGCAGCACACCTGTCCTCTGTGTAAACGCAGCATACTCAGTAAGTTATACACCTGTCCCCAGAGTAAACGCAGCATACTCAGTAAGGTTTACACCTGTCCCCACTGTAAACGCAGCATACTCTGTAAGTTATACACCTGCCCCCTGTGTAAACGCAGCATACTCTCTAAGATCTCTACTTGCCTGTACACTCAAGTGCAACTTTATTTGCCATATGCAATTAACACATTGGAAATCTAATGTAGCGCTGGTCATTGTATTTGGTACCCGGTTAAGTCAGCTATTCGCTTTAACTGTCATCTTTCCCTTCCATCCACAGGTAACCTCTGTAGAGACAGCTAATGGTAGCCTTGGCCCCCCTCCTCACTTCACTCTGACCAGGGCCCAGTTTTAAAAAAACTTTTAATCTGGATCAGAATGATTTTGATTCTTTTTTGCTTTCCAGGATTAGTTCGATCTGGCTGTTTTTGAGCCGGTTTTTCAGAAAAACAACCCCGGATAGGATCATTCTGATCCAGATACCACAATATCAAGATCACAGAATTTGGATTTTCAGTGCTTTGAACAGGCCTACACCTTGCCATCTACTGGACAAATTGTGGTACTACTTCTACACTGTCATAGGGAAACTGAGATGATTAAACTACATGAATAAAGGTACCTTGATCTAAATCCACCCTTCCAGTGGGATCAAGATAATCTAGATTTTTGGCATCAAAACTATCCTAATCACTACCTTTTTGAGTTTTGAAAAATGCAAAAAATGAAATGATTAAAGGTCTGATTGGATTTTCCAAATCCTTATCCCTATCCGGAGGATCATAATCACATTTTTCAGTTAAATGTTTTAAATAATTTTTTATCCTGTCTGATTGCCGAAATCCGATCAGATAACTTCTGAAAAACTGGGCCCAGAACATTGGGATCAAGTTTCGTCTTGTCGTTTTACGTGACTAGTTTTCAGTAGCAGTTCCAGACCTCACCTCTTCCTCCTGCACTGGATTGTGGGCCGGGGAGCTTCTCCCAGCAGTTGGCCTTCTTATTGGACGGTGATGACCTCTGACCCTTTGGGGACAGCCAATCCTGAAGCAGCTTCACTTATCTATGTGGTACTGTAAACCAAATGTTACTGTACCAGTACTATTGTTGAAACAAGCAGTACTTTCATCCTGGGATAACATACTGTACAATGTTGTTACTGTATTCTCTCCTACCCACCAACCCACCTCTCTCTGGCCGGTATGTCATGTGTATGTGTGATAGAGTACCAGTAAATACTGGTACCTCATGGTGGGACTGTCTATACATTTCTAGAAGGGCATTCTAATGTTCTGTGAATCTGTGGTGGAATTCCATGAATGTTCTTTACAGGGAAATGAATGTTAAGTCTAAGGTGTTTTAATGTGAAAACCTAGCTAACGAAAGTCTTCTTTTAAGTAATATTTGCATGGATGTTCAATGCAATATGGTACAAAGCATGGTTAAGTGTGTTTCTAACTGGCATCAAAACACAATCATTTGTGGCCCATATTCCACCATTTCACAGGGTCAGTATAATCTAAAAAGTTTTTAAAAAATTATAGATGTGGACTAATTTCAACCAGACTATTATTGTGTACTCTAAGGAGTATAATTTCAAAGTTTGTATTAATTCTGAATTAATAGGAATAAGGGCAGGGAGATAAAGAGAGAAAATTAAATTGTTAACCATACTTTTGTTAAACTCTATATAGAGAGACTGCTCTGTGAGGTAAATGCCTTTTTCACCAGATAACCAGAGTAGCAGAAGAGACAGACAAGTTACAAACACCCTTCAAAGACATCCGCGCTTACAGTCTACTACTTGACAGTACTTATGTTATACTAATCCTTTATGTAGTCCTTATTAGTTATTTTATTATAAACCACAGTGACCTTGCAGAACTGAAACAGACTTGACCTTGGCTAACCAATGAGTATAGTATGGAAAGGTGAAAGGTCAAATGGAGCCACTTGGATCGCACTTCAACCATATCCCACAAGAGGATCTAGCAACACCTTATAGGGAAATGTGAATACTCTAAATGCTTCCTACCATCAGCTAATCACTAGAGAAATATAGCCGCACCTATGGTATCATTCAGCCATCGCTGCCACTTGAACACATTAAAGTCACCGCTCAGTTCGCACAGGAATACTCCATTGAGAAAAGCTCTCGAACCACAGTATTAAATGTATTTATTATTTTGTTTGTTTTTAAAGAGAACTTCAAAAAGCAAATTGTAATGTCCTTTTTTTTTTTTTTTTTTTACAAAAATGCTCATAGATCTTTCTATATGATTCTCTTGTTATAAAGTAGTTGTGCATGGCGAGTCGTAGAAGCCTCTAGAAGCTGTTCGATGTCATGACATTTGTCCCCTCTTAGGCTACTCTTCCAAACACACACAGGACTGTGTTGTTATAACGGCTCACTTTTTGGGTTGAGGCTGAAACATGGTGGGTGGGGATTGGCTGGGTGAGGAGACATTAACTACCACACACACACACACTCACTTCGCTCAGATATTCCACACACACACGCTGCCACCTCTGGTCCTGGCCTGCCTGTCGTTTTGATGTCTAGACCTGTATTTAACTGACAGGTTGTGGGTTCGTTGTTCTTCCAGATCCAGCAGACAGAGGTTTCAGTCTGACAGTCAGGCCGGTCGCCCTGCTTCTCTTGTCCCGTTGGCGTCTCCTCTCTCTCCTTTCAGTCGTATGTTTCTTGTTCATTTGCTAACGATTCCATCACTCCAAATCTTAATAAATTGATTTGTTACATGGCAAAAATAAATCTTGTTTGTCCTTCACTCACTCACTCCATTCAGTCAGCACTTTGCTTTAACTGAATCAATCTACAAATCATATTGGACAAACTGAAACTTTCAAATTCAAACATGTCTCTAAACATTCCACCAACAGGCCACTTGGCAACCAAAGTTCTGTTATCATTGAACTAATCATTTGTGGCCCTTTGTGATAGGAAATGGAAAACTAGAATGTTTTACCTAAAAGAGAACAGAAAAAGGTCAATAAAAATGGCCTGGTCGGTGAATCCCGGTAGAAAGATAATCTGACTGATGAAGAGGACTCTGGGAGGGGTCATCAATCAGGGCGCATGACCTTTGACCTCTGAGCCGAGAGTCTCTCTCTCTCTCTCTTTCCTTTTCTTCTCTTTTTATTTCTTTGCCACGTCGTCCCGTGTTGTACGCACCGTCCGGTAGGTCAGTTGGTGGGTCTCCATGGCAGCACTTATCATCATCAGGAGGGGATCATACCTTTGTTCCTCTTGCGGTCGGACATCGCCCTGCGGTTGTGGTTGGCTCCCCTGCTCTTATGGGCCTCCTTCTTGCGTCGGTCCAGAAGGGTCTCTGTAGACTGGCCCTGGCCTTTAGGTTTACCCACCACGTCTCGCTCTCTGGCAGGCTCCGGACGGTACCTAGGGGGAGGAGAGAGGGGTTCAAATGGGAAATGCACACATTTTTCATAAACAAACCTCAATTTAGGATGTCTTACATTGCAATTGTAAGACATGAAACAGAACTTAAGGGCAATATAAGACAGGGATTTAAGTTAGTGTGTGTGTGTCTCCGTACCCCTTCCTGTGTTGCATGGTAGCTCTCCTTGCCTCTGCCCTCTCTCTCAGCAGAGCTGGGTCCTGAACAAACTGGTCTCTCTTCACAGCACTGTCCTGAGAGAACACACCATGTAAAGGGTTAATGATACAACACATAATGACTGATCCATCTAAACAGCTTAACCTAGAAATAAGGACAACCCTACAGCATAGCCACTGGTTCAATTATGTCAAACCTAATATAACTAATCTGGATAACAAAACATGGTACATAGAGAGCCTTAGGTAGCTAGCCTGTAAAGCCACCTTGTGGGCAAGATGTTAAACAGCGCCAATAGATAACACTGACCATGCCCATATTGTTGATCATAATAAGAAGGGAAGCAACTGTAGAGTTAGAATAATAAAGAACAGGAATCAAGGGTGGCATTTCAGGAAAGTGGCAGGTATCGCTCTTAACTTGCATCATCACAGAGAAGTCCATAGCGGTTCTGTGAACAGCTTTGTTTATACAGTGGCAAATAAGATCACTTGCAGTAAAAGCAGTCCAGACTCGCTCAATTAGTATTTTAAAATACGTACATTTTAACATATCTATATAAACAGTTCGAGAATGAGTTTGGCAGTAGGCCAATCATTATCTTGTTATGCCTGGCATGCAGTCTTCTCAGACAATATATTCAAACTCAGTTTGATAACAATGATCAGTTGATGTAGCACTGCAGCACAGCGAAGGATAAATTGAAATAATTAGCAAATCATTTTGCTTTTTTATTTTACAGGACTGATGGTACCTGCATCTGATGGTCATGGTGCTTTCAAGACAACTGGGAACTCGGGGAGGGGGAAAACGAGGTCAAATCATGATGTCAGTGATCTTCAGGTTGGAAAGCGGAGCTCTAGAAAGATGCCAGTTTCCGACTTGGATGACCGCTCAAAACGATTTTTCCCAGTCTGATTTTTTTGGGAGTTCCCAGTTGTCTTGAACGCACTGAAGTCGGAAGTCTGAGATTTCAGAGTTCCCAGTTGTTTTAGTTCGGCATTAGTCTCAGCGGAGGGAGGTCCCTGCTCTCTCAATTTCCTCCGGTGAGACTGACTAGAGAGATGGGACAATCTTCCACCTGATGGCGAAACTTGAGTCGCACCGCATCAGCCTCATGCACAAATTCATGCTGTTTCTATGACCAGAGAAAGTGAAATACTCCTCGATATTAACAGACACGACGAGCTGCTAATTCATAAAAATGCAGGGCGATCGATACACTTGGCTACTCATTCATTGCAGCAGGAGTGGAAGTAGGGAGAAGCGTGTTTTATGTTTTGTAATAGTGTTAAATAAACAGTGTTGTCAGTGGTGAATAAAACATTAAGACATGAACTCACTCATAGAAATAGCAGCTCTTTGCTGTATTCTTTGACAGTCTCTCTCTGGTCATTGGTTTAAAAGTTAAGAAATCTCAAGTAGGCTAGTATCAAATTTGCTGGGGCTGAGGTCGTGGAAGGGATTTGAGCTATCCGATTGGCCAGCGCAATAAGCGTACTCGATTTAGCCACAGATCTCCCAGTCCGCCGGGTAGGCGGAGTTAGTATTTTCAGACCAATGAAATGGTTCAAAATAGGAACACTTTGCCTACCCGGTGTGCAGGGCTTCTGAATCAAGTGCACCTACCGCCAACAGGGCTTCTGAATCAAGTGCACCTACCGCCAACAGGGCTTCTGAATCAAGTGCACCTACCGCCAACAGGACTTCTGAATCAAGTGCACCTACCGCCAACAGGACTTCTGAATCAAGTGCACCTACCGCCAACAGGACTTCTGAATCAAGTGCACCTACCGCCAACAGGACTTCTGAATCAAGTGCACCTACCGCCAACAGGGCTTCTGAATCAAGTGCACCTACCGCCAACAGGGCTTCTGAATCAAGTGCACCTACCGCCAACAGCGCAACACCAATAAGAAAACAAAGGCGCACAAGCCTGTATCGTTGGGTTTTCTACAGAAATGTTTGGTGATCGACTAGGAAGGCCTTGGAGATCGACCAGTCGGTGACCACTATTCTATACAGGAAAATCAATTTCTATACACCCTACCTTCTCGTCCTCTTCCTCCCCCTCCTCTACATTCTCCTCCTGCATCTGTGGTCTGCCTCCCTGCCGAAGGATCTGAGGGATGGTGAACGGCCTGTGGGAGGGAGAGAGAGAGAGAGGTTGTGTCACACTCAATCAATAAATAAAGCCCTTTTTACATAAATGTGGTTCAACAACAGTAGTCACAAAGTAGCACCTTGGCAAGGACAAATCTCTTAGAGGGAAGAAAACTTGAGACTGAGCAACCAAACTCAGATGGGAGGCTCTAGTCTAAATGATTAGCTAAAATCTTAAATCAGTAAACAGGTGTGTGTTACCTGCGATTGAGCAGGTTGGCGTCTCCGTCCAGATCATTGGCTCCTACTTGGTTGACGTCGTATGTGTCATCATACTCATCATCATAATCGTCCAGATTGTAGACGGCTCCTGATTCGCTGGGAGTCACGATGACCTCATCCACCACAGTCTCATAGGTCAGGTAGCGTTCCTTCTGCTCTGCTATGTGCTGCTTGTCATTTAGCAGGTCCCGCACACTCTCTCCTTTCCTGAAGGGAAACAACACAGACAGATATACAGAGATTACAGATCACACACAAATATACAGAGCTCAGGCTTTATTGTACAGTTCACTATTAACCTGGTATTCATCTAAAAATGACTTGGGAAAATTGTCATTTTGGGTGTGGTGTGGCGTAACCAGACAGAACAGGAAACGGTCTGTGACCGAGTCATCAGGAGGCCATCTTGGCCACAATTAACTTTGTCCCCAGGGGGAAAATAGTTGATAGCGTCTGACCTCCGGCCCTTCCAGACGCGGGTCATGTCCACCTGGTCTCTGTTGAAGACATCAAACTCATCATCGTCAAACACGTTGGACCTGGTGCTGAGGACAGGAGGCAGCTCCTCCTTTACCGGCCTGGAGAGAGGCGAACATCAACGTTAATACCTTTTTCAGACTACCCGACCCAAACCGTGCTGGCTCTGATATTTTCCTTTCACATTGTTATTTCCAGCACGGTTCCCACAACTATGAAGGATGAATAACAAGATCAGCGCAGCACGACTCAGCTTGTGCATCTGTGTTTGTCCACATACAGACACCCACCCCTCTCCCTCTCTACCTGGGCATGGCTCTGTCCAGTTTGTCCAGGTCAGGGTGTAGTCTGTCCTCTAGGATGTAGTTAATGACCAGTTCAGAGCTGTAATTGTACTGGTGGAGACAGGCCAGTAGAAATCCCTCTCCCAGGTCTGGTAGCAGGTCTCTGATGTGGGTTAACAGAGACTCCAGCTCCCCCGCACTGATCGTACATGCAGCACCCTGGACAACATAACACATATCAGACACGGACACACACACTATTACAATAGCATCTACACAGGACTGAGGCTCCTGTGTATTGTCTCATATAGGGATAGGTAAGCTCTCAAAATGATTTGGTTATATTTGTGTATTATTTTGCCAGCTAAAATTACAAATCTGGAGGTCATACTTGCAAACATAAGCAACCATTTAAATGTAAACGGTTTCTCCTGTTCAAAATGCGTATCAGCCAATTAAAATCGTTGATTTACTTGCACGTGACAGAACGCTAAATGTAACTGGTCCCATCAGATAACATGGCACACGTTAGCCCTAAGATTGCCCCACCAGGCAGTGATTATATCCTGGAACAAGTTCTGCATCAGTCAATTAAAATCGCCGATGTAGTTGGACGTGTTCCAAAAACGTGTTCACGGAAGCGTCCTTAACATACCCCCAACAGCACGTTCTGATCATCAAAGCAACTACCACGTGTATTTGACTGACTGGTCAAATTACTCTCTGTGTAAAGTGCCTAGTCCACATAATTGTCGCAGATTGTGGCAAGGGTTTGAATCTCACGAGTCCCCACATTTGAAATGTAGATCTACATGTATTGTGTTAGTGTGTTGAAAAGGGACGTAGCCAACAGCTTGAAAATGAAGATTAGGAATTAATTGAATAAGGAGCCATCTCTTTCTTCAGCCTTGCACACAAACACAAGGCTATTGCCTAATAATCATATTGCATAGGCTATATTACATGGAGGTGTACACCTAAATGTAGGCCTAAAATATTTTATATGCATTTCCTATCATCTGCTTTGTCACATATACGTTACTTGAATTGAGGAGGATGAGCATTAAAGTGTACAGTAGGATTATTAGGTACACCTACGAAAATGTATCACTCCTACAGACAGTGAGTCATGTGGCCGTGGCTTGCTATATAAAGCAGGCAGACAGGCATCGAGGCTTTCAGTTACTGTTAGATTTAACGTTAGAATGGGCAAAACGAGTGACCTAAGCGACTTTGAACGTGGTATAATCGTTGGTGCAAGGCACGCCAGATCCAGTATCTCAGAAATGACTGCCCTCCTGGGCTTTTCACGCATGACAGTGTCTATGGTTTCCTGCGAATGGTGCCACAAACAGCTTGTTGATGAGAGAGGTCGAAGGAGAATGGCAAGAATTGTGCAAGCTAACAGGCGGGCCATAAACAAGCAAATAATGGCTCAGTACAACAGTGGTACAGTTGAAGTCGGAAGTTTACATACACCTTAGCCAAATACATTTCAACCCAGTTTTTCACAATTCCTGACATTTAATCCTAGTAAAAATTCCCTGTTTTAGGTAAGTTATATTTTAAGAATGTGAAATGTCAGAATAATAGTAGAGAGAATTATTTATTTCAGCTTTTATTTCTTTCATCACATTCCCAGTGGGTCAGAAGTTTACATACACTCAATTAGTATTTGGTAGCATTGCCTTTAAATTGTTTAACTTGGGTCAAACGTTTCGGGTAGCCTTCCAAAAGCTTCCCACAATAAGTTGGGTGAATTTTGACCCATTCCTCCTGACAAAGCTGGTGTAACTGAGTCAGGTTTGTAGGCCTCCTTGCTCACACACGCCTTTTCAGTTCTTCCAACAAATTTTCTAAAGGATTGAGGTCAGGGCTTTGTGATGGACACTCCAATACTTTGACTTTGTTGTCTTTAAGCCATTTTGCCACAACTTTGGAAGTATGCTTGGGGTCATTGTCCATTTGGAAGACCCATTTGCGACCAAGCTTTAACTTCCTGACTGATGTCTTGAGATGTTGCTTCAATATATCCACATAATTCCTCATGATGCTATCTATTTTGTGAAGTGCACCAGTCCCTCCTGCAGTAAAGCACCCCCACAGCATAATGCTGCCACCCCCGTGCTTCACGGTTGGGATGGTGTTCTTCGGCTTGCAAGCTTCCCCCTTTTTCCTCCAAACATAATGATGGTCATTATGGCAAAACAGTTCTATTTTTGTTTCATCAGACCAGAGGACATTTCTCCAAAAAGTACGATCTTTGTCCCCATGTGCAGTTGCAAACCGTAGTCTGGCTTTTTTATGGCGGTTTTGGAGCAGTGACTTCTTCCTTGCTGAGCAGCCTTTCAGGTTATGTTGATATAAGACTCGTTTTACTGTGGATATAGATACTTTTGTACCGGTTTCCTCCAGCATCTTCACAAGGTCCTTTGCTGTTGTTCTGGGATTGATTTGCACTTTTCACACCAAAGTACGTTCATCTCTAGGAGACAGAACGCACCTCCTTCCTGAGCGGTATGACAGCTGCGTGGTCCCACGGTGTTTATACTTGCGTACTATTGTTTGTACAGATGAACGTGGTACCTTCAGGCGTTTGGAAATTGCTCCCAAGGATGAACCAGACTTGTGGAGGTCTACAAATATTTTTCTGAGGTCTTGTCAACGACCGGCAGTGAACTCAACAAAAAAGCTTGATGCGAGGGGTTCTCGTGCACTATCGATTTCGAGTCAACCGCTTTGGCAGCGTGTGCCACCTAGAAGCGATGGTGATAATGGTAGCCTACATGACTGATATTTGACAAATTCATATGGCTCTTCTTTTTTTTTTACGCTGTACGATAAACGTACATGTTTTAAGGACCTCATTTATATTTTTTCCATAAAAGCACATTAACGTGTGTGAAACAGAAACAAAAACGTGGGATTTTCTCATATGTGAAATTGTAAAAAAGTAGTAGCTGGAAGCCTAGACAAGGATGCATCAATGCAATATTGGCACACAACATTTTGTTACAGACCAATGTGCCATGTTATCTGATGGGACCAGCTACACTTTAACGTTCTGTCACAAGCAAGTAAATCGACTATTTAAATTGGCTGATACGCATTTTGAGACGAAGAAACGGTTTAAATTGAAATGGTTACTTATGTTCGCAAGTATGGCCCCATTATTTTGGAGGTTTAACTAACAAACTACATCACAGCTCACCCCACCCCATATGCCCAAACTGGTATCTCCTAGTCAGAACTCACGTTGTCTCCTTTATGGGGCGTATCCAGCATGGCCTCTGCTCCTCTGGGGGTCTCCCCTCCTTCCCCTGGCTCTCTGATTCCCATCTCCCCCCCCCAGGCCCCTGCCCCAGCTCCACCCCAGGCCCCAGCTCCACCCTCTGCTCCCTGGCCGGTCAGCCCGGCGGAGGAGTGTGTCTGCTGGGGTCTGGACTGGGTTCTCCTCCGGCCCACGCTATCCCAGGCATCCTCCACTCCCTGGAGCAGATACGATGTCCTGGTCTCGTCTCTGACAGGGAGGGAGGGAGGGTTAAGGAAAGACAATGGGCAGTGCTGGAGGAAAGGGTGGTGGAGGTGTTATTATTTACATTTTAGTCATTTAGCAGACGCTCTTATCCAGAGCGACTTACAGGAGCAATTAGGGTTAAGTGCCTTGCACAAGGGCACATCGACAGATTTTTCACCTAGTCGGCTCAGGGACTAGAACCAGCGACCTTTCGGTTACTGGCACAACGCTCTTAACCACTAAGCTACCTGCCGCCCCACTGCTCTAGGATGGATGGATGGATGGATACGTTTCTTCCAATGAGGGGGATGTGTATGTTTCTATGACTCAAAGTGAGTGAGTGAATGAGTGAAGAGTGAATGGCTGACTGGCGGACTCATTGAGGAACATGTGTCTGAGTGGGCAAGACCAGTGAGACCATGTGGAGGAAGGATACAGGAGAGGGAAGGCCTGCTGTAGAAGACTGATATCATCAGCTATGGGGAACTGCTCATCGTAGTCTGATAGGAACCTGAGAGAGAGAGACAGCAACAAGGATGGCATCAACAAACTTTCTTTATCTCCTCAATGGACAAGCTCCAATCAGTTACACAACATTCCAAACAACAGCAGTCATCGTAAGAACAGTATTAATTAGGTCAGGGATGCAATGGTCAAGAATATTGATTGATTGAAGACGTTTATGGCCCTTCAAAAGGTAATTCTTTCCATATCAGGAAACAAACAAGTATGTACTGTACCTCTTCTCTGGTAGGAAAGTAGTGAAATGCTGTAGGAGTTCCTCCACAAATGTCTGAATGTTCTCTGAGCTAAAAACAAATTAACAACAAAATGTTCAAAGGCTGCGGGAAGGCTATGAGCAAACATAGGTAGGTGGATGGTAGGTGGATAAAGAAAGGATGAGAAAAAGAGAAGAGAGAGAGATAGAAAGGCGTTTTGTTCTGACCCCTCTAGTATGGGCTGTAGACAGGTGTGTTGCAGCAGCAGGTGCGCCATCTCCACCATCCTCCTCCGGGCGTGACACACCCTCCTCCACAGGTCCTCCTGGAGACTGGCAGGGGGGCACGGGGGGAGGGGGGGGTTCAGTCACTCACACACGGATGCACAAATGAACACGCACAAAACAAACAGTTCATACACAGTACCCACACACACACAAGCACACATGGTATATACAAGCACACAATTAATTGGTATATACAGCCTGAGACATTTGTGTGCAACATTGTGTAAATGTTCTTTATATGTCAGAATGTTTAATAAAATGACATTTAAAGTTGCTCTACCGGCTTGTCCTTCTGCTGCTAGAAAACAGACAGAATATCCACAGGATAGTGTTATTCAGACGACTTTCAGTACGCTGGTCTGTATATTGGTTTGTCCTTCCGGTTTTTATTTTCAATACTGCTGCAATTCGCACGTGACAAACACTTGCACAATAACGGCAAACACTTCAGGCTGATTACGAAGAAAAGTGCTTCGGTCGACTACATTCGGCTCTTGTTTCCATATTGTGCGTCACGTGCAATGAGCCGAGCGATTGAAAATACAAGTGACAGAACCTACCAGCGCCGCAAAAAGTTGGGTAAACAACACTTTCCTGTGGATACTCAATCTCCTACCGCCAAAAGAACCAACAGCATGTACAACCGGTAAAGTAACCTCAAATATAATTGTATTTAACATTCTAGCTTATAGAGACTATTGCGACTTCTTTCAGACTGATGGCCCCGTGTAGCTCAGTTGGTAGAGCATGGCGCTCACTAACTGTGAGTGTCTGCTAAATGACTAAAATGTCAAATGTTGTCCATGGAGTAACCATGGTAACAATTTGACGTTCAGGAAAAAACACACACACACACAGTACACACACGTCTACAAATAGAAACACACCTATTGTCATCAAAGTTTCTTTTCCTCACAGCCTTCTCTATGTCAGGCACAGCCACCTCGTAGAATGAGGCTAGTCTGAGAAGAACGAGAAGGTACATTTTGAGCAAAAGTGATCAACTCTGACAAATGCAATATTGAAAGAAACAAATGGTCCACCACTGTGGAAGCAGTGTAGTTGAATAGTGGTGGTGGGAAACAAGTGAAATACTGCTTGTTCTTGGCTGTATATGTTTATCAAATACATTCATTTAACCTGTTGAGATATCTGTGTGAGTGGAAGGTGTGTATGCGAGCACTCTACCTGTTGAGGAAGCTGTGACACTGAAAGGTGGAGCAGGCAGCAGGGAAGATGTCCAGGAAGGCCTGGATTGTGGTACAGGTATCACACAGATACAGCACCAAATCCACTAGGTCCTGGAAGAGGAGGCACAACCAGTCAGAACTGGTCAGAACCAGTCAAAAATGATAGTTACAACCAGTCTAAACTAGTCACTCCCGTACTAGGAGAACGCCAACTCATTGAGGAGATGGAAGAGGTTTCACAACCAGTCACAACAATCAGTTAAAACAAACCGGTGACTCATTGAAGAGATTTTAAACTTCAGCTGGTTTTAAACTTCAGCTGACATGTTTTTAAAACAACAATCTCTGACAAGCAGTGGACTTTACTTTATAACTGTGGTCTATCTTTTCGGTCATGGTGTAAAAGGCAGGTGCAGTGTGTTTATCATTACAGTACCTGTTGACTCATGGTCATGGCGGTGGGTCGGCCGTGTGAGCTGAGCTTCAGAGGCTCGATTGCTGTGGTTCCTTCACACTGGAGACCACACTTAGCAAGGATAGTGTCCAAAACCTGGGAAGAGACAAAGAGCAAGTCTGAAATGGCACCCTATGTTCTCCAATGTGCACTACTTAAAAGTTGCAGGCTGCGACATCTTAAAATGCTGTGACACTAAATTGGAAGTGAGGTAAAATGTCAGTGTCACCTAGATTATGTTCAAAGAAAACCTTTTGAAATGGAGTGTATTAAATGGTTGTGCTTCTTACCTGTAGGACCGAGGGCACCGCCTCATCCAGGTCTCCATAGTAACTCGGCTGCTGGATGAAGATGTTTTCTGGAAGATAAACAAGACATTGATGTCATTTATTGAAAAAATGTCATCTGTTCTAGATCCATTTGAGCAGGTAAAGTGCTACACCAGACAAAGGGCCCTGTTGCGGAGCTCACCTATCATCTTATGGAGCAGCTGAGAGTTTCCTTTCCCAAACAGAACACACAGGTCCAGGATCTTGGGAATGTCGAACAGGAAGTTGTCGTAAATGATCTCTCCAAACACAGTCGGAGTTATAAAGCTCTCCTGAGAGTGAAGAAGAAACAGGAAATAAAAGTTATGTTCAGTAAGACAATTCTCCTCTCAATAGAAGAGTCAGACAGAGAATAATTCATGTTCCAAAAATTCTTAGCCTCTAACAGTTAAAGCTGTTTAGTTAAAACTTGTCTCTGACCCCATCTAAACACGGTTATCCGCTTTTAAATGACAGGTATCTGGACATGCAAAAGACAGTTTCTCCATTCAACAACACTACATCATTGCCTTGTCAGAAACAGACAAACCCCCAGGCTACCTAGACAGCAGTGGTACCTTGGACTCCTTGTGCGTGGCCATCCTGAGGAAGGTCATGAAGACGGCTCGGTGGACGCAGCGCTGCATGTCAGCAACGGCCGGGGAGGAGGGCAGTGAGGAGGGGTCTAATCCCCGAGGGGCGTGGCGTAGGTAGGAATCCAGACACTTCTGCAATGACTCATCAAACATCACCTAGGGGGGGGGGGGGAAGAGAGAGAGAGAGAGAAAGAGAGAGAGAGAGAGAGAGATGCGTGTTAATGATGGACCCAATGGGTTTAGGTTAATCTTGGTCAGGTCAAAACCTCCCGTCTCTACGTTATGGTGTATGACAGCCACAGTGACTGACCTGGCACCAGAACTTGTCATGTGGCAGGGCCAGCAGCCAGTCCAGGTCCTCAGTGATGAACTTGCCATGCTCCAGGTACTCCTCCACCTGAGCAGGGGAGCTGTCCTCGGGAGGGGGCATATAAGGCACGAAACACCGCTCCTCCTTCCTGTCTGGATGCTGCCATGGCAACACAACAAGGACAGTGGGCAATGGTTCAGTGACACGTCCTCAGACTGAGGCAATCAGACAACACAGTGATATTATATAGCTTAACTTCTACAGTTGAGAGAAACATATACTAAAGTGGGGTTATGATGAGAAAACAACTAGGACAGTGACATAGGTCACATAACCAAAGGGAATATGCACACTTCGATGATAGCTTACAGTAGCAAACTCTTACTAATGCAGATACTGTAACACAAGGCAGTTCGTTTGTGATGTGACAACCACAGCAATGGCCATAATGTACCCGAGGAAGCAGTGTCAGATGGTTTATAATGTTGGCTGTCTTACCAGGGCTGGCAGGGTGCGCTCCTTTCCCAGGGGCCCAGTAGCCTCTGTCACCTGTTGCTCATCAAGCGGTATCATAGCACACGCCATCGTTTCTTTTCACTCTTTCAAATTCAAGTTGATTCTTCTAATAGAGAAATGGATATCGTACTGTATGAAATGGATAGGACACACATCCAAATAGTTAGCTAGCCTACCTGCTAGTTATGTTTGACGAATCCCAGTTTAGCTAACAGCTGGGTTAGTTCAAAATCGATTGAAGCGAATTAAGATAGCTAGCTACAACCGTTAAGTATGAGTCAGTAATGTTACCTAACTAGACAGCGCCGGTGTGTAGTTTGCCGCTGACAGAATGTGCATTAATAATCTAGCTAGTGGCTACACCAAATCAAAGTGGCACTGGCAAAGAAAGACATAACTAGCTAACTTAGCTAATGAAAGACAGTTTGCTAGCTGGCATGAGCTTTTGATCTTGCCAATCAGACAGCTGAGCCACAAGCGTTGGCTAGCTTGGTTGCTAGGAAGCTTAGCCACAACGCGTTAGTTAACCTAATCACATAATGTTAGCTATTTTATCATCATATGTAATTGTCAATAAGCACAACGATAAACTCACCTCTTATTTTATATAATGTTTGGCTCTTTCAAGCCATAACGAGCCACTCTTCTGTTTTGCAAGTGAGGCGAGCCGGAAGTGCCAAAGCACTTTTACATTGCGCAATGCGCACGCGCAGCCACATGTCCGTTTGGGGTGACGCAAATGACGTACATCCTGGGTTGGATAGCAGAGAGGAAGAAAATTGGTGGATAGCCAAATTAGCCATTTGAGGCATTCATGGATTCTTCAGAAATCTTTCATATGCGAATGTCATGCATAATAAAGGAGGCAAATGATGAGTTGTGCCACATTTGTCAAAGCTTCCAGCTGACACAGCCAGAAGAGGAATGGCCACCCCTCAGAGCCTGGTTCCTCTCTAGGTTTCTTCCTAGGTTCCTGCCTTTCTAGGAAGTTTTTCCTAGCCACGGTGCTTCTACATCTGCATTGCTTGCTATTTGGGGTTTTAGGCTGGGTTTCTATACAAGCACTTTGTGACACCTGCTGATGTAAAAAGGGCTTTATAAATTAGATTGGATAAGATTAACGCCAGGGTAGTAGGTTCGATCCCCGGGACCACCCATACGTAAAAATGTATGCACACATGACTGTAAGTCGCTTTGGATAAAAGCGTCTGCTAAATGGCATATTATTAATGTCACCTTATATAGTATGACTTTTCTTATAAATTATTTGTGAAGCATTAACATAGTGCTTATGAACACCCTATAATAAGGTGTAATTGTAAATTGTGCAACAAAGTAATGAGCCATGAGAGTTGATTTAGGAAAATTGTTTATAAAAAAAGACATGTTCCCAGTTCCACAACACATTGCAAAGGCTGATGACGAGGTTGCCCCAAAACGTACAACACTTCCCTGACACCAATATTCACAGGAGTCGGACTTCTTCCCAGCATATATAAATAATGTCTTCAAATAGTCTAAAGTCAGTTAGAGAGTAACACACAATTAGGTGTTTTAGACAGCAAAATCCTGTAGAAACGTTAGGTGGAAATGTGTGTTGACTGTATGCATTCTGAATTGAGAAGTGTTATTGATGCATCCGTCCTTTGATGACTAACAAATGTGTTTTACATGTGCCACATGTAAACTACCGCTTAAATGAAAGACAAAGAATAAATACAACATAAAGATTGCATCGTTGTCTAGTTTCACATGGCTTGTGTTTCTAAACAAAACAAGTGTGTCGTGTGCATAAACTTGAATTTAAAACATAATGGCTAAGTGATCACCCATACTACTAACCGTTTCAATACATTATGGTTGACGTCGTACATCATTCATTTCATGTGATGGCTTATTTCATAAAAGTTCATAGAATAACTCAGAAATGGGAAAGCACAATTATTCACCTAATCTTTAACAATAATAACAATTGAATTGTAGACTGACATTGAAGTCAATGCATAGCAATTATAGTACAACTGAGCAAATATTAATTGAAGGGGGAAACAAAATATAATCTACTGCTCTACACTGGTCCATTTCAGATGCTTTGTCTCCCTCTAGGGGTCATTTATAATATTATACAAACTTGCATATGCTCATGCAGGACACCAAGGGGTGCACATTTTGTTTTTTGCCCTAGCACTACACAGCTGATTCAAATAATAAACTAATCATCAAGCTTTGATAATCATAAATCAGCTGTGTAGTGTTGGGGCAAAAACCAAAACGTGCACCCTTTGGGGTCCTGAGGACAGAGTTTGGGAAACGCTGTGCTAAATGGTACAATAAATTCTCTCCAATCAAGAAACAACCCTAAAATATATTGTATGAATGAGAAAGCCTACAAACCAAAATAACTTTAGTCCTGTATCTCTATGATCCTGATCTTACAGTTTTGCTGTTGTCATAACATATTTAAGTTATACACATAAGGTATAATACCAGATGGACACCCTGATGACAAATCCTATCAACCATAACCCTTTAATAACAGTTAAAACTCATATAACCCTATAACAACTGTCATAACTGTTATAATCATATAACAACTGTTATAATGGTTATAACCCTTAAACAACTGTTACAATCTGTTGCAACAGTGTCCTGAACACTGCACCAATACAATATAGTACTTCATAACTCAATCATCTAATCAACCATCGACATTGTAGAAGCTGCTTAACTGCTTAACAATTGTTATCCACTACAGGTTAAAAAAAAGTAAGTCTTACAGATTAAACCATGAGGTTAGGCCTAGCTACATGAATTACACACTCACTTCACTGTGGGAGTGAGACCGTCTTCTATAGGGTATTGGATAAGGACACAAACAGTCAGGCCACATCTTAAGTGTACCTATCGTTCTGATTCTTGCTTTTCATCATAACAAATAATAAAACAATACACGTTATGAAATGTAATACATCTCAATGTGATAACAGTATGGGTAAGGAATGGAGGATTGCATTAATACAGTTTCAAGAGTAGTAGAAAAATCGAGTCAGTGACATATGAAGGGCATTCTGGTGCCGCCATAGTCCATCACACCTAGGCTTTGTCCAAAATGGCACCCTATTCCCTACAGTGCACTAGTTTTAGGTTTTACAGAAAAGTAGTGTACTATATAAGGAGCTATTTCGGACACATCTTAGTAGAGAACAATGTCAGAACTGAGAAAAAACCAGGACAGAAAGCTAAATCAGCACGTTCTTTACGCAGGTCACACTTTGTAAGAAAAACAAGCCCTTCACCATGAATAGGTCTGTATGTACATATTTGGTTGTTAAAATTCACACATTTCGAGTGTTGTTGTGGTGTTTTTGTCTGGTTCCTTGTCAAGTAAAAAAATAACACGTCTAAGTCCCGTGTGGCTCAGTTGGTAGAGCATGGCGCTTGCAACGCCAGGGTTGTGGGTTCGTTTCCCACGGGGGACCAATACGAGAAAATGTATGAGTCACTCTGGATAAGAGTGTTTGCTAAATGACTAAAATGTAAATATAAGTACTGTACTCAGAAAGACACATCCTCAGTCCCTTGTTGGGGAAAATATTTAGTTTCCAGTTGATTTTTTTTTTTTTGGTATGGAATGAAAAAAAGGGTTTGTACTCTGAAAATGGATAAAGGAAAAAGTCCAAGGATGTCTACAACACAACTGCTTTTACCTGATTGTGCTGCTGAGGCCACCGTAGTTTGGCTCCTGGGCACACAGAGGCATATGGGTAATATAAATATGCTATGTCCCCGTCGGAGTCCCTGGACCCTCGGGTGCTCAAAAGGTCCCAGTCAAGGCTCATCGTCCACATCCAAAACAACCAATGAGAGAAGGACATGATCTCCATGACAACAGCAGTCTGTTTAGAGCCAAAATGGCCTCTCAGTAGTCTGAGGAACGAGGAACTGTTTGATTGATTAACAGGGTTGTTGTCCGTGGGTCAGAGAAGGCCCAAGAGAGATGAAGGAGAGAAGGTACCCATGCCAGTGTACTAGTAGCTACTGCATATGGGAACAGCATAAAAAAGTGTTTTCATAACTTAAGCCTTATAGGGTGCGTTCCTGCCACACTAGAACCAAAGCCCCGGGTCTCTAAAGTCCTGAGGGAGTATAAAGAGCCAAACAGGGCCTGAGAGGAAGAGATGGAGCCTGGGGAGGGAGGACCGGGCGTTCCCTTTCAGCCCCAAAGGGCATTTCCAGGTCCGGTTCCAGTTGTAACCGGTTTGATTTGGTTTAAACCGGTTAGGTCCAGTAGAAGTCCTAATGCTAGTCCATGGTGATTGCTCCAGAGTAGGTGGTGAGCAGCAGCATGATGGCAAAGCCGGTTAGGAGGCCGGCGTTCTGGATGGCGAAGGTCAGGAAGAAGCTGCTGCCCCCAGCCTCCTCCTCCTCACGACTCACCTCATTCATCTCTGGGAACTACGGAGAGTGAGAGGGGGAGAGAGAGAGAGAGAGAGAGAGAGGGGTAGAGAGGAACGGAGAGCAAGAAGGAGGGAGAGAGAGTGGAAAGGGAGAAAAAGCAGGTCAGTTCCTCAAACAGAGCTATATACTGGATGAATGAATGGTACTTTTTGCTCTATATCAAATCCATCCCCATATCCACCAATCTCTCAACTTTGTTGGCGTGACAGGCAGGGGGAGGGGCTTGGTGTGTGTGTGTGTAAACCAGAGGAAGAGGCGAAGCGAGAGGTTTCACTCTCACTAAAATCTGTCCAAAATAAGGCCAATGCGTTTCTATGGGCTTATTTTGGACCTAAGCAACGACTCCCATTGCTAGGGCAGAGACGTGCATCTCATCATTATATACAGATCTCTGGTGTAAATGGGAGAACATCCCTGGTCATCCCTACTGACTCTGATCTGGCAGACTCACTAAACACCAATGGTACGTTTTGTAAATGATGTCTGAGTGTTGGAGCGTGCCCCTGGCTATCCGTAAATGTAAAAAAATAAGAAAAAATTGTGCCATCTGGTTTGCTTAATATAAGGAATGTGAAATTATTCATACTTCTACTTTTGATACTTAAGTATATTTTAGGAATTACATTTACTTATGATACTTAAGTATATTTAAAACCAAATACTTTTAGACTTTTACTCAAGTAGTATTTTACTGGGTGACTTTCACTTTTACTTCAGTCATTTTCTATTAAGGTATCTTTACTTTTACTCAAGTATGACAATTGGGTACTTTTTCCACCACTGCTATTTTAACAAAATATAACAATAGCCTAATTGTCAACCCAAAATGCATGACAATCACTGGACTAGGTTGCACATAAAAATATTTTGAGTCACAAAGATGAAACAACTTAGTTCTTGAATACCATCTCAGTAGTCTATTGCACTTTTTAATAAAGCACTGTGAATGACTTTCTAACATGATACAAATTTGTTTTATTGTGTGACACCGCCCAAAAAACTGGTGAACCAAATCATGGCCTGGTGCCACCAACTGAATAACTTAAAATGACACCAGTGCCACAAAAATGTTAGTCTAGAGCCCAGCCAGTGGATACACACAGACACACACACACGTTCATCCCATCCCAGGACGTACCATGTCTGCCAGGGCAATGTAGAGGAACATGCCCCCTGCCAGTGCAAAGATCCATTGAGGTGAGAAGCTGTTTCCTGCCAGGATGCCAAAGCCCATGCCCAGGTAGCAGCAGCAGGCAGACAGGAAGTTGAAGAACAGAGCCTGCTGGATACTCATCCCAGCATTTAACAAGATCACAAAGTCACCTGAAGGAGGAGGGAGGGGGGGGGGAGAGAGAGAAACATAGATACTTATTGCTTCGAAAGGTGGATTCACATAAGCCCAGTTAGAGGCCAAAACATTATCCATCAAATAAAAAAAGTGTGCTTTGGGAGTGGTGGGTGTTTTTAGATAATTATTTTTGGTGGGGGACTGACCTAGCCCTACAACTCACACAAAATTCCTCCGCTGCTCTGTCGTTCGTTAAATACTTTAGTCTCAGACTGCCATCATTTAAGTTGTTTGTGTTGACGAGGGGCATTGTACAAAAGGGGCAAGGGGCGTTGTACAAAAAGTCAGTGATTAGATCGTCTCTAACCAATCAGAGTATCAAAGCCAATTACACATTTTCATACTGCCGCTTCACCCACGTGTTATAGCTCTGGCCCAACCCATCAGTTTCTGAACCAATCAGATAGCCTCGAATGTGTTCGCATTTGGTGATGGGTCGGGTAGGTACTGAGATCCAGACTCATAGCAGAGAAGAAACTTGTGGGCGTAGTGTAGCGTTTGGTCGGAGCAAGGAGTGTCCCATTTATTTTAATATAAGTGGAGGTGAAAGTATGTACAGTGCATTCGGAAAGTATTCAGACCGCTTGACCTTTTCCACATTGTTACGTTACAGCCTTATTCTAAAATTGATTGAATAGTTTTTTTTTCCTCATCCATCTACACACAATACCCCATAAAGACAAAGCAAAAACAGGTTTTTAGAAATATTACATTTACATACAGTGAGCTCCATAATTCATTGGACAGTGACCTTTGTTTTGTTATTTTGGTTCTGTACTCTAGCACTTTGAGTTTAAAAGGATACAATGACAATGAGGGTGAAGTGCAGACTGTCAGCTTTAATTTGGAGGGTATTTTCATACATATCGGATTAACCGTTTAGAAATTATAGAAGCTTTTGTACATGGTCCCCCCCCATTTTCGGGCATCAAAAAACATTGGACAGTTTAACATAATGTAGAATAAAGTAATCATTGTTAATATTTGGTCGCATATCCTTTGCATGCAATGACTGCTTGAAGTCTACGATGCATCGACATCACCAGACGCTGGGTATCTTCCCTGGTGATGCTCTGCCAGGCCTGTACTGCAGCCATCTTCAGTTCCTGCTTGTTTCGGGGACTTATTGCCTTCAGTCTCCTCTTCAGCATGTAAAATGCATGTTCAATTGGATTCAGATCCAGTGATTGACTCGGCCAGTAAAGGATTTTCCACTTCTTGGCCATTAAAAACCCCTTTGTTGCTCTAGCAGTATGTTTAGGGTCATTGTTGCATGATGAAGTGCCGTCCAATGAGTTTGGAGGCATTTGGTTTTATCTGAGCAGATAAAATATTTCTGTAGACTTCAGAATTCATTGTTCTACTTCTGTCTGCAGTCACATCATCGATGAAGACAAGTGAGCCTGTTCCACTGGCAGCCATACAGGCCCAAGCCATAACACCCCCTCCACCATGTTTCACGGATGAGGTGGTATGCTTTGGATCATGGGCATTTCTTTTTTTTCTCCACACTTTCCTCTTTCCATCACTCTGGTACATGTTCATCTTTGTCTCATCTGTCCACAATACGTTTTTCCAGAACTCTTGGGGCTCTTTTAGGTGCTTTTTAGCAAACTGTAATCTCGCCTTTCTGTTCTTCAGGCTTATCAGTGGTTTGCATCTTACATTTTAGACATTTTAGTCATTTAGCAGACGCTCTTATCCAGAGTGACTTACAGGAGCAATTAGGGTTAAGTGCCTTGCTCAAGGGCACATCGACAGATTTGTTCACCTAGTCGGCTCGGGGATTAGAACCAGCGACCTTTCGGTTACTGGCACTACGCTCTTAACCACTAAGCTACCTGCCGCTTGTAGTGTACCCTCTGTAGTCCTGCTGGTGTAGTCTTCTACGTATGGTAGACTTTGACACATCTACACCTGCATCCAGGAGAGTGTTTTTGATCTGTTGGGCTGTTGTCAGGGGGGTTTTCTTCACCATAGAGAGTATTCTCCGGTCCCCACTACAGTGGTCTTCCTCGGTCTACCGGGTCTTTTGACATAATTGAGTTCACCGGTTGTTTTTTTCTTGTTAATGATGAACCAAACTGTTGACTTGGGCATGGCCAGGGTCTTTGCAAGTCTCAAGTCTTCTTGGGTATGACGCTACAAGCTTGGCACACCTGTATTTGGGGAGTTTCTCCCATTCTTCTCTGCAGATCCTCTCAAGCTCTGTCAGGTTGGATGGGGAGCATCGCTGCACAGCTATTTTCAGGTCTCTCCAGAGATGTACAATCGGGTTCAAGTCCGGGCTCTGGCTGGGCCGCTCAAGGACATTCAGAGACATGTCCCGAAGCCACTCCTGCGTTGTCTTGGCTGTGTGCTTTGGGTGGTTGTCCTGTTGGAAGGTTAACCTTTGCCGCAGTCTGAGGTTCTGAACGCTCTGGAGCAGGTTTTCATCAAGGATCTCTCTGTACTTTGCTCCGTTCATCTTTCCCTCGATCCTGACTAGTCTCCCAGTCTCTGCCGCTGAAAAACATCCCCCACAGCATGATGCCGCCACCACCATGCTTCACCGTAGGGATGGTGCCAGGTTTCCTCCAGACGTGACGCTTGGCATTCAGGCCAAAGAGTTCAATCTTGGTTTCATCAGACCAGAGGATCTCGTTTCTCATGGTCAGAGTCTTTAGGGCTGTCATGTGCTTTTTACTGAGGAGTGGCTTCCGTCTGGCCACTCTACCATAAAGGCCTGATTGGTGGAGTGCTGCAGAGATGGCTGTCCTTCTGGAAGGTTCTCCCATCTCCACAGAGGAACTATGGAGCTCTGTCAGATTGACAATCGGGTTCTTGGTCGCCTCCCTGACCAAGGCCCTTCTCCCCCGATTGCTCAGTTTGGCTGGGCGGCCAGCTCTAGGAAGAGTCTTGGTGGTTCCAAACTTCTTCCATTTAAGAATGATGGAGGCCACTGTGTTCTTGGGGACCGTCAATGCTGCAGACATTTTTTGGTACCCTTCCCCAGATCTGTGCCTCAACACAATCCTGTCTCGGAGCTCTACGGACAATTCCTTTGACGTCATGGCTTGGTTTTTGCTCTGACATCCACGTTCAACTGTGGGACCTTATAAAGCCACGTGTGTGCCTTTTCAAATCATGTCTAATCAATTTAATTTTCCACAGGTGGCCTCCAATCAAGTTGTAGAAACATCTCAAGGATGATCAATGGAAACAGGATGCACCTGAGCTCAATTTCGAGTCTCATAGCAAAGGGTCTGAATACTTATGGAAATGTGATGTCAGTTGTTTTTTAACGTGTTTTTGCTTTGTCATTATGGGGTATTGTGTGTAGATTGATGAGGGGAAAAAACTATTGAATCCATTTTAGAATACGGCTGTAACATAACAAAATGTGGAAAAAGTCAAGGGGTCTGAATACTTTCCGAATGCACTGTATATACAGTGGGGAGAACAAGTATTTGATACACTGCCGATTTTGCAGGTTTTCCTACTTACAAAGCATGTAGAGGTCTGTAATTTTTATCATAGGTACACTTCAACTGTGAGAGACAGAATCTATTTTAAAAAATCCAGAAAATCACATTGTATGATTTTTAAGTAATTAATTTGCATTTTATTGCACGACATAAGTATTTGATACATCAGAAAAGCAGAACTTAATATTTGGTACAGAAACCTTTGTTTGCAATTACAGAGATCATACGTTTCCTGTAGGTCTTGACCAGGTTTGCACACACTGCAGCAAGGATTTTGGCCATACAGACCTTCTCCAGATCCTTCAGGTTTCGGGGCTGTCGCTGGGCAATACGGACTTTCAGCTCCCTCCAAAGATTTTCTATTGGGTTCAGGTCTGGAGACTGGCTAGGCCACTCCAGGACCTTGAGATGCTTCTTACGGAGCCACTCCTTAGTTGCCCTGGCTGTGTGTTTCGGGTCGTTGTCATGCTGGAAGACCCAGCCACGACCCATCTTCAATGCTCTTACTGAGTGAAGGAGGTTGTTGGCCAAGATCTCGCGATACATGGCCCCATCCATCCTCCCCTCAATACGGTGCAGTCGTCCTGTCCCCTTTGCAGAAAAGCATCCCCAAAGAATGATGTTTCTACCTCCATGCTTCACGGTTGGGATGGTGTTCTTGGGGTTGTACTCATCCTTCTTCTTCCTCCAAACACGGCGAGTGGAGTTTAGACCAAAAAGCTCTATTTTTGTCTCATCAGACCACATGACCTTCTCCCATTCCTCCTCTGGATCATCCAGATGGTCATTGGGAAACTTCAGACGGGCCTGGACATGCGCTGGCTTGAGCAGGGGGACCTTGCGTACGCTGCAGGATTTTAATCCATGACGGCGTAGTGTGTTACTAATGGTTTTCTTTGAGACTGTGGTCCCAGCTCTCTTCAGGTCATTGACCAGGTCCTGCCGTGTAGTTCTGGGCTGATCCCTCACCTTCCTCATGATCATTGATGCCCCACGAGGTAAGATCTTGCATGGAGCCCCAGACCGAGGGTGATTGACGTCATCTTGAACTTCTTCCATTTTCTAATAATTGCGCCAACAGTTGTTGCCTTCTCACCAAGCTGCTTGCCTATTGTCCTGTAGCCCATCCCAGCCTTGTGCAGGTCTACAATTTTATCCCTAATGTCCTTACACAGCTCTCTGGTCTTGGCCATTGTGGAGAGGTTGGAGTCTGTTTGATTGAGTGTGTGGACAGGTGTCTTTTATACAGGTAACGAGTTCAAACAGGTGCAGTTAATACAGGTAATGAGTGGAGAACAGGAGGGCTTCTTAAAGAAAAACGAACAGGTCTGTGAGAGCCGAAATTCTTACTGGTTGGTAGGTGATCAAATACTTATGTCATGCAATAAAATGCAAATTAATTACTTAAAAATCATACAATGTGATTTTCTGGATTTTCTGGATTTTCAGACCTCTACATGCTTTGTAAGTAGGAAAACCTGCAAAATCGGCAGTGTATCAAATACTTGTTCTCCCCACTGTATATATAACCTAATATTCTCTAATTTCTGTGGATTTGAAACTTAGGCTGTGTGAACTCACCTAGCTCATGGGGGAACTCCTCACAGAGTATGGCCACAGAGGTGCTGATGCCCTGGAACGTTGAGGCAGTGAATGAAGCTCCAATGGCCAGGCCGTCGATGAAGTTATGTAGCCCGTCACTCAGCGTGATCATCCAGGCCAGCGTGCCAATGTCAGAATACGCTGTACCCTTTAGCCAATAGCAGCCTCCTCTGCTGTTCCCTCCGCCCAGGCTCTGAGAGTCCTGTTGGAGAGGAGGAGAGGTGTGAGGAATGGAGGGAGGGAGAGTGGAAGGGTGAGAAAGTGTGTGTATGACAGTGAGTGTGCGCGCCTCTCTTTTACCGGTGGGGTGAGTGCGGGGGTGAGCTTGCGGTCCCCCTCTCCTCCGACCACCCTGGGCAGGTTAAGCCCTGCCTCTCCCTCCTGCTGCAACTTTTCGGTCACGCCATCCTCCATGTCTCTGTTGGCTGCAGCATACAGCTGCTCTGAGGCTGGGAAGTGGCTGTGGCCCTGTCAAGTCACATATGAAGAGTATTTCTTACCAGGATTTAGAAAGCATAGTATTTTCCTGAATTAACAATGTTGTTAGCTATTTAAAGTTATACTATACTTTCAGACTGTGTTAGAGGACGTCAAGTAGAGGACTCTATAATTGGTTTAAGAGACCACAGCAGACCAGTGTTACTACTGAACATGTTAGAGCATTAGGCCCACACTAGTTGTACAATCTGGCCATCAGGTCCAAACCATGTTTCAAATCTGTACTATGCTGAATGTCCACTAGGTGGAAGCATCACCTCAAACAATGACAACTTGTGACCTGAAAGGCAGATGGTCATACAGTACAATACACTAAACAAACAGACATCTTATCCAACACTACTGCAAAGATCAAATAATCGATTGATGCTAACATAGCTAAGCTAACTATTCACTGATGCTAACATAGAGCTAAGCTAACTTCCGGGACCTTCCCTGGGCTACAGAGGCAGGTCCAGTGTTCGTAGTACAATGTGCTTAAACATCTCTACCTTCTCAACTTATGCCATTTTCCATCCTAAACTATGTGAAGCATCTCTCTACTTGTGTAGGAGGTAGGTCTTAGGCATGTACAATAGCGGAGAGTGGGGTAAGTTGAGCCAAAGGGTTAGTTGTGCCACCCCTTGTTTCTAGGAAACCATATACAAAATGAATCATTGAAGGGTAAGTGATATTGAACAGAGATCTGAATGTAGGCATACATTTAAGATATAGAATATACCACACACACATTTCATTAATAAAATTTTGACCTACCAGCACAATCACCCGTTTACCTCAAGGCAGCTCAATTTACCCTATCCCCATGCTCAACTTACCCCATACCCGGGGTAAATTCTGCCAAGAGACCACTTTTTTTTGGTCAAGCTGTTTACAAAACTGTTATGTTTACATTAATTTCCAGGGATACACAACATCCAGAAAAACACTATATAAAAGTATGTGGACACCCCTTCAAATTAGTGGATTCGGCTATTTCAGCCACACCCGTTGCTGACAGGTGTATAAAATTGAGCAATCGCCATAGTCAAACATTGGCAGTAGAATGGCCTTACTGAAAAGCTCAGTGACATTCAACGTGGCATCGTCATAGGATGCCACATTTCCAACAAGTCAGTTTGTCGAATTTCTGCCCTGCTAGAGCTGCCCCGGTCAACTGTAAGTGCTGTTATTGTGAAGTGGAAACGTCTAGGAGCAACAACGGCTCAGCCACGGAGTGGTAGGCCACACAAGCTCACAGAACTGGGCCTTGAACGCTGAAGCGTGTAGCGCGTAAAAATGGTCTGTCCTCTGTTGCAACACTCACTACCGAGGTCCAAACTGCCTCTAGAAGCAACGTCAGCAAAATAACTTTGTTGGGAGATTCAGGAAATGGGTTTCCATAGCCGAGCAGTCGCACACAAGCCTAAGATCACCATGCGCGATGCCAAGCGTCGGCTGGAGTGGTGTAAAGCTCGCTGCCATTGGACTCTGAGGAAACGCGTTCTCTGGAGTGATGAATCACACTTCACCATCTGGCAGACAGACGGACGAATCTGGGTTTTGCGGATGCCAGGAGAACGCTACCTGCCCCAATGCATAGTGCCGGCAATGTTCAGGTGTCCACATACTTTTGGTCATGTAGTGTAGTATAGAAATAGAATGAGTAGAACAGGCTTGCATTCTAGTTTTGTGTTGTATGAACATATGGTAATATTTATAGGGCCCATAACTGCCTGAGGAGTTCTGAGGTGAGCGGTTACTGTTCAGACAGTTACTGTAAACCAACACCCGGGCCCCCAGCTAGACAGACAGGACAAACCGGCCATGGCTGTGAAATCCTTGATTGAGTATACAGATATGATTTTCCCATGAAAATATATACTGTATCACCTCTCCACTCCATCTAAGAGCTGATGCTTATCTGTGTGTTGAGTCCTGGTTGAGACTAGTGGATGTTTATGAGCCTATTATAAAGCCACACCACAGAACAGTTTTTCTCAACCTAGTCTTCTTGGAAGTTGGAATACCAGTAATTTCAAATTTTTTATTCCAACACCAGCACACCTGATTCAACTAGTCAATGGGTTTATGATAAATTGACTAGTTTATGCTCGAATATATCATACAAAGCCAGTCCCGTGGAAGAGAATGCATGTACAGTACATAAAACAGAACAGACAATAACTTTTCCGGTTTCTGATCAATCCCAATGGGTTCACATATAAGCTGCAGAGGAAACACTGTCAATGTGTTTGCACCAGGGAAACAAATTTAATGTTTTTGTAAACATGACAAATTATACCCCTTAAAACCTTTCACAAAGGATACGGTGAAAGAAATTACACTTTTTATGTTTGTCTTCCTTGTGAATTTTTCAGTAAGCTACCTTGCTGCAAAGCAAATACCATCAACTGTGGTTGTGTGGCAATTACTGGATCATGAATATCATTGTCGACTCACCTTATTCTTCGGTTTGAGCAGCATCTTGAGGACCTTCTCAGTGAAGAAGAAGAGGTAGAACCCTCCAAACACCACTGTAGACTTGGACACATAGTTGTCCACCATGGGGTCAAAGCCAAATGCCTAGTAGGATGAGACACAGTTAACTAAAGCCTAGGGCAGTAGAGACCAAGTTAGACCTAACTAAAGCATAGGAGGGCAATAGAAACACAGTTAACTAAAGCCTAGGGCAGTAGAGACACAGAGGCATCTGTCTATTTGATAATAACAGGGTACCACATTTGACTGTTAAAGGGTTTGTGTAAAAATATGTCATTGCTTTGACTGAACTAAGTATCTAAGAGTATCACTTACATGTAGCTTATGGCTTAGCCGCGGGAAGTCGTTTGGGGGTGGGGGGGCTGAGAATTATTTAGTCGATGGGGGGGGGGCTCTAAAAATGTTTGCCCACACTACTGACGGATATATCGGTCCGCTAATACAGGACTAGTAAAGGCCAGTGCACTATTTTGTTCAGGGGGCAGCACCCTCAGCATCCCTACTTCCTGCAGCTATAGCTTATGGCTCAGTCATGATTCAGCAAAACTGAAGCTGAACATGTAAATTATGGGGAGTGAATGAATGGCTATCGTTTTACTCTATGTCAAGGTATTTGTATGCACAAGCCTCTGAATTACTATATGTACAGTATGTGCTTAGTTGTGTATGAATCATTGGCATTGGGAATCCTTCACTGTCAGAATATTGAAAAACAATCGGTAATACAGGTAACTGCCAAAATAAAGGCAACACCAACATAAAGTGTCTTAATAGGGTGTTGCCAGAACAGCTTCAATGCACCTTGGCATATATTCTACAAGTGTGTGGAACTCTATTGGAGGGATGTGACACCATTCTTCCATGAGAAATTCCATCATTTGGTGTTTTGTTGATGGTGGTGGTGGAAAACACCGTCTCAGGCGCCACTTCAGAATCTCCCATTATTTACATTTTTACATTTTAGTCATTTAGCAGACGCTCTTATCCAGAGCGACTTACAGGAGCAATTAGGGTTAAGTGCCTTGCTCAAGGGCACATCGACAGATTTTTCACCTAGTCGGCTCGGGGATTAGAACCAGCGACCTTTCGGTTACTGGCACAACGCTTTTAACCACTAAGCTACCTGCCACCCCATTATTGTTCAATTGTGTTGAGATCTGGTGACTGAGACGGCCATGGCATATGGTTTACATCGTTTTCATGCTCATCAAACCATTCAGTGACCACTCGTGTCCTGTGGATGGGGGCATCCTATGGGGGAATAGCCACGGTGGCTATTCCCCCATAGGATGCCCCCATCCACAGGGCACTAATGGGGGGGGGCAATAAAGTGATATACTGTTGATAGTTAACCTAACACATTTCTTTTAAGTTGGTCTATGGGCCAGGCGAAACTGTAATCCACACCATTTACTTTTGGCCTCCGTTTCAAATTTGAGGACTGCTTGAAAAGGGGAACACCAATGAGGTAGAAAAGCACAATGATACTGTGACAAGTAGTGTACTACAAAGGGAACAGCATGCCATTCACACTACCTCTGGGATGAGCTGAAACAGGGCGTTGGAGTAGAGGGTGCCAATGGCCAGGGCTATGAAGTAGAGGAGCAGGCGCTTGTAAAAGGTTTTCCTCATGAAGGGGACCACACTGGCCCCAACCAGCGAACACAGAGAGATGAGGGTCACACACAGGAACCCATAACCCCAAACTGACCACGACCAGAGGAGGGAGAGAAAGAGAGAGAGAGAGAGAGAGGACCAAAGAGGAGGAGAGGAAAAAAGGACAAAGGGGAAAATAAATTGAAAATTAACGTCATGAAATCATTAAAGATATTGTTTTTTCCCCCACTGCAGAAGAAACCTGAGGATAACATCAGTGGATTTCACCCCGAAGGAAAGAATCAGATCACCCACAACAGTGCTTTTCCCAAACAACCGGAAGTGCCCAATCAATGGGCATTAACTGTCCATTCACAGACCTGTGTGTGTTTGAGATCACTATGAGATAAACATTCCCGTGCATTAGGACAAATAGCTGTATGATTAGGAAACACCATGATTTGTTTCCCATCAGATCAGTGTTCCGACCCCAAACACTGCCTGTGATTAAGAGGAGGGGGATATAATTAGGGAGCAATTATGTCATCAGAGATCAGAGCAGCAGCATCCTCAGGCCATTCTGATGTAGTCAGGCTGGGAATGGAATCACTGGTGCGTTGAGCTGGAGCACAATGCAGGAGGATATTAGGGAGTACGCAATGCAAGAGCGATCAGATAAACCAGGGGAAAGACAGGGATGCTAGACACACACACACACACACTCAACACACACACACACAGGGCTGGGTGATATGGCCAAATACTACAATATTTTCCTCATTTTTGACTGTATTTGATGTTTTTTTTAAATAATAAAGTCCTAAATATGCTTTGTGAGTAGGGCATGGCCCTAGGGTGGCAACAAATACATTTTAAGATGGTTTTAAAAATGGGGCTCTCTCTCTCTTCTGACTGTTTTATACTATTCAATCAAACTTCAACCCAAAATAATTTTCTGCATTTCCTTCACTCATTTGTCAAACATTTGTTTTGACAAATGCCCCTGCTGAATCACAGCAGACACGCTGCCTGAACAGGAAAGGGGAGCTAGAAAACAGCCTTTATTTTCTCTCTGAGCAGTTACATATCAACTAAGTCAGTGTTTCCCAACTCCAGTCCTCGAGTACCTCCAGCAGTACACATATTTGTTGTAGCCATGGACAAGCACACCGGATTCAACTTATCAACTAATCATCAAGCCCATGATGAGTTGAATCAGTTGAGTTTGTTAGGGGGCAACAACAAAAATGTGTGCTGTTGGGGGTCCTCGAGGACTGGAGTTAGGAAACACTGAAAGTCAAGGGGCTTTATAAAGGGCACCACCACCTTAACCCATTACTCTTCATTACTTTTTCATGCCTTACTATTATGGTTATTTTTTTTTACACACAATTCGCCAATAGTACTTTGAGAAAGAAAGTTGCAGGACATTGGGAGCAGCAAATGCCCACTTGGCCTGGTTTCACTGAGGTGAGGTTAGAGAGATACTGTGTGTGCTCTACAACCAGTCTCTCTGCCTGTCAGCTTCTCAGTCAGCCAGCCAGGCTCTCAGCCAATCAGCTAGGCTTTCAGCCAGCCAGTCACTCAGCCAGCCAGCCTCTCAGCCAGCAGCCAGCCAGACAGCTCTCTCCAAGGAGAACCAGTCTCACAGATGGCCTATATACACTAAGTGTACAAAACATAAAGAACACCTGCGCTTTCCATTACATAGACTGACCAGGTGAATGCTATGATCCCTTATTAATGTCACTTGTTAAATCCACTTCAATCAGAGTAGATGAAGGGTAGGAGACAGGTTAAAGAAGGATTTTGAAGCCTTGAGAGAATTGAGACATGGATTGTGTGTGTGTGCCATTCAGAGGGGAAGGGGCAAGACAAAATATTTAAGTGCCTTTGAACAGGGTATGGTAGTAGGTGCCAGGCGCACACCGGTTTGTGTCAAGAACTGCAACGCTGTTGTGAAACACTTTCGACACCTTGTAGAGTCAATGCCTCGACGAATTGAGTCTGTTCTGAGTGTAAAGAGGGGGTATACTCAGTATTTATTCCCCAGCTAGCAGAGTGTAGAGAAGACAGCTTAACCAAACATCACCCTGTGTATCAGACTCACACAAAGACAACAGAGAGAACACAGAGAAAACAATCAATCCAGAATTCCACTGGCAGAGAATCACTGAGGCAACCATAGAGTCAAAGTCTCTGAAGTTTTGGTTGAACAGGACGATTCCCAAGGTGCTTATTACAACCCCAGGAAGGAAGAGAGGGAGGGAGGAGAGAGAACAAAAAGGAAATGCCCAAAGGGAGGTGAAGAAGTGAGTGTGTGCTTGGTCGGTGGTGCATTGTTGTTTTGTTGAGGCCCTCTTTACTTCATCGAACAAGTATGGGCGAATGACAAAGGGGATACAGTATGTGGAGGAATGTCAGGAGAGGACCCTGGAGTGGGCCATTACCCCAGTAAGGTGTGGAGCCCCAGGCAGGTTTTTCTTAAGAGGACCTTTGAGGGGATAGGGGAGTATGTGGAGAGAGTGAGGGGATGGGTGTTGTCTTTTTGGGGACTTTTTCAATAGGGGATGAATGGACAGTGCACCTCTGGCAGGAGCTGAAACACGTCGGTGGAGTAGAGAGAGTTCAGATGGAGAGGGCGATGAAATAGACTAGTCCCCGGCACATGTGACACGCCATTATGATGGGAACCAGGAACACACCGGGGAGGGAGAATGCACTGACCAGGGTCACACTCAGAATAGAGAAACCCCACACTGTGATGGGAGGAGGAGAACACAAACATCACAGAGGGATAAAAGGAGGGTGAGGAGGTTTGAAATGAACATTAAACACACACATGCTGTTTGTTTCTGTATTATGAGAGTTTATGAACATATGAGAATTACTCTGTTTGCTGTGACACAATGATCAGAAATGATTATGACTGCATGAGGAGTAATGCTCATATGAAGAACAGAGGGGACGGGAAACTATTAAGTCATATATATGAAGGGTATTAAGGGGAGGGATATCCCAAGGTGGTATCATTAGCACCTGTGGAAAGGGAGTGGGGACCAGTGACACTGTGGTGGGTGCAGTCGACATTTAGCCTACATTGCGGTGGTCAAACCTGCTGAGCATAAAACTCCTGTAATGTTTGGTAAAGGAACAGTTATGGTTACTTTCATTTCTGATCATTTCAGCTCACAGAAAGCACCTGTACCCTATGAGAAAGGTTTGGTTGTGGTGTGGACTGCTGAAGTGACACAGGCTCTGTAAGAAGAGTGTTATAGAAAACAAAGACTGCATTGTAAACACTTGAAAATAATTTGTCCACATCCTTTTCTGGAAGAGAGGTATTACTGAGAACTACATCCAGGACACTGTGGTTAGAACATTACATTCGCATTTGAATCATTTAGTAGATGCTCTTATCTAGAATGGCTTACAATTAGTGCATTTCAAAATAGGTAAAACAACCATATAACATATTAACTTAAATCACAGACAGTCCTTAGCATAGTAGTGTCACCTGTAAAGAACAGGGAAACATTTTAAAGGACCAAACCCTACACATCGGACCGACATCACTCTGCACCAACTGCAGACAGCATCCCAGCAGCAGCAGCGCAGTTAGTACCTTGGTGACATTGCAACACCTCAGCCCGAGTCACGGCTAGCCAAATACCCTGTCCTAGTCCTGGGTTAAGATATTATTAGAAATCTTGAAAATATTTTAGCTGTGATTGATTGAGCTTGCCTGGCAAAATAGAGCCAATGGAATAGTTTCAAAAGTTCAAGCCAGACCATCTAGCACTCCAGGCAGGCGCAAGCTAACGCTCAAAGAGTTAAAATACTATTTGAACCCAGGTCTGCACTGCCCAGACTCTGCCAAAACTGGGGAGAGAGCTCCAGGCATTAGTGGAAGATGAGAGTGAAAATATATCTCTGGGCCAAAACAGATCTTATATCAATGCTTCTCCTGCCAGATATGGAATTAGGACACAGAGGGGGGACAAATATCATCAATACCACAACAGTGAGAGCTTGTGAAACATCTTCTTAGAAGATTTCATTTGGAGTTAGGTATCGAGTTAGCGTTGGTATACTCTAGACTCGAGAGTATGTGTTGAACAGACACTAACATTATGAATCACTATATGCGATTCAGTGTGCGGTGATGCGTTGGGATGACCACACCACCCTCTGGAGAGCCCTGCAGTTGTGGACGGTGCAATTGCCATACCAGGCCACATTTCTTCAGCCTCCTGAATTTCTTGCGGCTTTTTCACCACACTGTCTGTGTGGATGGACCATTTCAGGTTGTCAGTGATGTGCAGAATTTTTTGAAACAAGTAATTTTTTTCATTTCACTTCACCAATTTGGACTATTTTGTGTATGTTCATTACATTTTAGTCATTTAGCAGACGCTCTTATCCAGACAAAAATCAATTAAAAATTACAGGTTGTAATGCAACAAAATAGGAAAAACACCAAGGAGGATTAATGCTTTTGCAAGGCACTATATATATATATATATATATATATATATATATATATATAGCCCCGTGTAGCTCAGTTGGTAGAGCATGGCGTTTGCAACGCCAGGGTTGTGGGTTCGTTTCCCACGGGGGGGCAGTATGAAAATGTATGCACTCACTTAACTGTAAGTCGCTCTGGATAAGAGCATCTGCTAAATGACTCAAATGTAAAATGTATTGTTTGCCAAAAAAATATATAATTTAAATTAAATAAAAACTAAATTTTGAATCTTGTGTCGTTTTGTGTATCAGTTCATAAACCATGTGCCATGGAATAGGTACATCAAAAATCTCTTCCCAACTATTTTGCAACCTGTATGGTGCAGCTGTAAATTATTTGGTCCTTAAATGAAACTGGTATCCTTTTTTATTTATCACAGTTTTCTTTAACCATGTTTGGTCTTTAATACAGGGCCGACAGATAAGTTCCCTACCTTCTCTCCTTCAACTCCATTTTTGCAGTAATGCTGCAATCAGTAATTTTGGATAGAGCAGATTTTTCCATATATTTTTGTAAAAAGGAAAACTACACCCAAACCACTCATCCCTTTAATTTACAGTCAGTGACTCTCATCCCCTCCTCCAGACCATCTCTGGAGACCTTTCCCCATTCCTCACTTCCCTCATCAACTCATCCCTGACCACTTGCTTCATCCCCTCTGACTTCAAAATGGCCCGAGTCCCTCCCCTCAAGAAACCAACACTCGACTCCTCTGACGTCAAAAACCACAGACCGGTATCAAATTATTTCCAAAACACTTGAGCGTGCTGTCTTTGACCAACTCTCTCAGAACGATCTTCTTGACCCTAACCAGTCAGGCTTCAAGACTGGTCACTCAACAGAGACTGCTCTTCTGTGTTATGGAGGCTCTATGCACTGCCAAAGCTTAATCTCTATCCTCTGTTCTCATCCTCCTAGATCTATCTGCCTTCGACACCGTGAACAATCAGATCCTCCTCTCCACCCTCTCAGGGCTGGACGTCTCAGGCTCTGCATACTCTTGGATTGCATCCTACCTGACAGGCCGCTCCTACCAGGTGACGTGGAGAGGAGGGCTGCTACGGGAGGACATCTCCCACTCAGCCCAGTCCAAGCTCCCAATGGTGGAGCCAGAGTCCCTGCCCATCTTCCGAAAACTTCTGAAACCCTACCTCTTCAAAGAGTATCTTAAATAATAATGATCTGGCCTTAATGGCCATGTACTCTTATAATCTTCACCTGGCACAGCAAGAAGAGGACTGGCCACCCCTCAGAGCCTGGTTCCTCTCTAGGTTTCTTCCTAGGTTCCTGCCTTTCTAGGGAGTTTTTCCTAGCCAGGGTGCATCTACATGTGCATTTCTTGCTCTTTGGGGTTTTAGGCTGGGTTTCTATATACGCACTTTGTGGCTGGTGCTGATGTAAAAAGGGCTTTAAAATAATTTTGATTGATTTTTGTATTGATATAGAAAATGTATTATGAATACTGAGTATAAGTTTAGAGGCTCACCTTCAGCAGCAGTGGGTTTGGAAGGCAGGTCTATGATAAGCTCCTCCCCTTTCTCCTCCCCACAGGCGCCGGCGTCCAATTGCTGCAGCATGGTGGGGCAGAGCTCCTGTAAGCCACGCCCATCCAGATGAGACTGCTCGCTTATACTGTACACCGCCAGAGTGTCTGCAGGTAAGCACTGTGGAGGGAAACATACAGTCAGTCAGTCAGTCACTGAGGGGATTTAATCATCTGGCACGGAGTTTGCATTGGGTGAAAAGTGATTGCATTCGTTTTGAAACAGGGCTGCCTCCCCCCCGAGCGTGAGCCAGGTGTCCCGTTCTGCTCAAAACAAAAGTGACTTCTGCTCAAAATAAAAGTGACGTAGCCTAGGCTAGATGAAGCACTTGGAATAATGAGTAGGCTTTTGTGTTTTCACATGCAAAAGTGATTCCTTTTGATAAAAATGCTTTATCTGCCTTTCCAATGAAAACTTGTTAGAACATTTTAACATACACTGAGTGTACAAATCATTAGGAACACCTGGTCTTTCCATGACAGACTGACCAGGTGAATCCATGGGAAAGTATTGATCCCTTATTGATGTCACCTGTTAAATCCACTTAAATCAGTGTAGATTAAAGGATTTTTAAGCCACTTTTGCCCATTCACGTCACGGGCCATAGACTGGTGCACCGTGGCTCAGGTTAATAGAACTCCCTCAGTGACACACACACACATTCGCACATACACACCAGACCTGGGTTCAAATACACGTGTATTTGAGTATCTGGTATTTAAAATACTTTTTCTGTGTGTTTGAGTATTTTTCAAATACACAGCCCAAAGCAAGTACTTATATTTAAGTATTTGAATGGTTATTTGTAAATAAAAATTAAAAATAACAAAAGAGTCTCCCAAACTGTATTCAAATACTTATTTCAAATACCCGGGTTAAATGCATGGAAATGTAATTGAGTCAGTGTATTTGAGTATTTTCCAAGTGTATTTCCAAATACTGTACATTCAAATGTCTTGGGTGTAATAGTGGACAACCAACTGATCTGGAAGGAAAATTCAAAAAATCCAAATCCAGACTGTACTTTTTAAGATGCTTAGATCTTTTAATGTCTGTGACAAAATGCCATTGTGTGTTGCACAAGGAATTTAGCCAAAGAGGACTTAAACAAGCTTGACAAAATCATAAAGAAAGCCAGTGCTACAATTGGTTGTCTAGTCCATCACTGAGAAGGAGTGTTATCCAGGGGGGAATCTGTTCGGCATCATCATCTTGTTTCTCTGTGCTGTGTGTGGAGGCAAACTGGTTGGACTGATCCAACTCCCTACACTCCCCCCCCCCCCTTTGTCTCTTCAAATAAAATATATCCAAATAGGCTGACTTACTTTAAATGCATGTGAAAGTAATTTAGATATTTGAAATAGTATTTGAACCCAGGTCTGCACACACACACACACACACACACACACACAGCAGAAAAAAGAATCCTCAACCAGCCCCAGCAGACACCAGTCATTTTCTATCTGATAAGGAACATTATGTTTTCCCTTCAAGGAAAACTAAACATATCAAGTTATCCATGATGGAGCCGGTCCATGTAAGGTTCCATGCCTGAGCACACAAACTCTGGACCAAAGGTAAACAGTCATTCCCTTAACTCAGTGGCATGAGGAACGGCGCACAGGACACACACACACACAATAGCATTTCCTATCTTTGTTTATCCTCTACAACATGAAGACGCAACTGAACTTTGCGCTGACTTCAAAAATGTATTCATGCGAGAAATGGCGGTGGAAACACCTTTATGCGCAAATATTGATATAATAACCATCACATAGAAGTAAACTTGGATTAAAGCGATGATATGGTGTGCGGTCCTCCCACTACGACTCGGGAAACCATGCAGTTTATTAGGCTACAGATGAAATAAATGATGATAAACTTCATAGAGTGGTGAAAGTGCACGGTGATGAGCTTGATGCTCCTTTCCAATAAATATCAAGGGTCTTATTCTGGTGACATGATGATCGATGCTTGACTGCCGTTTGACAAATAAAAATATTCTCGCTCTTATCCATAATAATCTCATCATGTAGACTAGCTTACCCGCACTGTATCTGCCAGCTGTTGGCTAGAGCGCACATGCCAAGACCAGAGTAGGAACATTTGCTATTTAACGCAACAGTTGTGACAAAACTATTGGTAGAGTTGAAAATGCGAAGGAAACACATTGAACTTTAGATTTGTATTTGATACGTGAAAAACATAAGTGAAAAAAAATGACATTTTGTATGCACTAGGTCATCAGGCATTTTGATCCACAACAAGTCAATTTGGTGGAAACACACCACTGGTGGGAAAATGCATATATTTTCTTTATGCAGATTTGAGAATATTTGCATTAAAATCTGTCCAATTGGATGGAAACCTAGCTCATGAGTTCATCTGACTCTGGGTAAGTAGATAAAGGGCTTCTTTGCCAAAATCCCAAAGTATCCCTTTAAGCTTGAGAAAAATGCCAAGTATCCTAGCTATTTAGGAGACCAAAAGTGAGAGGGTTTGAATGAAGGATGCCCTACTCGTGCGGTACTTGCATGATCATCGAGTGGTTAAAACGCAGATTTTTTTTGTTGCCCCAATGCAAAACTCAAGTGGCGAGTTACATTATTTTTCAGGAACTCTGGCTCGTGGCTACGATAATGGCAGCACCTATAAAGATTAGCCTACATCACACAAAACACTGATTGTTTTTGGTCCAATGCAATGCACAGGGAACTTTATCCGTTACAACAGACAGAAGGTTGTATAGCCTTCAATAAATATTTTTGGGAATGTTTGTTCAAATCGCCACAGTTTTTATTTTATTTAAGCTGTTCAGAGACATGAGGCAGAGATAGGCTACATCATCATGGTTCAGAAGAGGGTGAGTAAAGAGAGAAAAGTAAAGGGAGGTGGAGTGTGAGCAGTAGCTACGTAGTGCGTGTAAGATAACATGCGCAGAACGTGATCCGGATCCTTAGCTTTGAGAAAGAGTTTTCCATAGGGGCGGGAGGGGGCGAAAAATCTTTGTTTTAACACTAATGGCAAGACACTGCTGTATAGTATGATATTTCAATCACTTTTTGACCGCACCCCTTTTGATTTGAACGAAACCTTCCATACCTATTCGCCCACGGTAGAAGCGGTCAGAAAGTGACAATTTGGACCTGAATGACAAAACATTCAGGAAATAGAGGTGCTCAAAGTTGACCCATTTTGCATACCATGATACATCAATGGAAAAGATAACGGTTGAGTTTGATATCATTTAAAAGCTTACGAACAGAGTTGTGAAATTATTTTATAATTTCTAGAATAAAACTGTTTAAAATTAAAATGTAAATTATCTAAAAACGTGTAAAGGCCGATTTTTTCTCTCTCGCATAGGTTGTAGCTTAGACCCCATTTGACATCATCTGAGGTTTTTGTGTTGTGCCCACCATCAGTTGAGACGCCACATGCCCTTGAATACAGGGTGGGTGTCATGTTTTGGATGATAAAATTATAATATCAACTTTCAACCACAGATGGTTGGAGGTCCACACATCAGAGAATGTTGACTTGAATGGGAATATCAGTTGTTTTAAATGATACTGTCAGGCAGCCATCTTTGTGGTAGTAATTGGAAGTAAGAATGTCAACGGTGTACCAGCTAAATTGCAGAAGTCTGAAGGGATAGGTCCATTCTATGAATTATATTTCTATGATTGAAATGACACCCACCCTGTAGTCAAGAGTGCGCCGTCTCAACCAATGGGGGGCACAAGACAAACACCTCAGATTATGTAAATTAGGGTCTTTTTTAGATATTTTAAGATAATTCACTTAAAAAGGTTAACAAATGCCAATGCCTACTTACTTTGGACAGGTTGACTTTAGGCGGAGCAGGTGGAGCCGTCCCCTCTGCTGCGGTGCTGTTGTCCCCCTGACCAGGTGCACCAAGTCGGGACAGCAGGGAGCGGAGCTGGGGGACAGAGATGGTGGCGTTGTCCCCATAGCGCTCCAGCAGGCCCTGCAGCACCTGGGCCGGAGAAGCCTGGGGCTTGCCTAGCGCCCTCCCCAGGGGACACAGCAGCAGGGCCAGGGTGAGGAGGACTGTCAGCTGGGCCACACAGACAGAACAGCCATGGCCGGGTCTCTGGGTCATGAGGATGATGATGACTCCACTGGCTGGGTGATGTCTAGGGAGAGGAGAGATGTGACTGAGGTGGGTTGGTAGGTACTGTAGCTCTGGCTAAGGAACAGGGAGAGCAAGGCGGGTTGGTTAGTAGGCCAACACACAGTGGGCTCTGGCTGGGGAGAGGAGAGGGGGAGGAGAGGTCACTGAGGTGGGTAAGTAGGCTAACACACTCAGTAGTTCCCAAACCTTTTTGTGCAGCCAGCCAGCCACACACAAAGTTTCATTGTCTTACACTTGGTTCAATGAACACAGAGGGCAGGGAAAACCATTCATTGCACTGACGTTTCTATTCATTGCCTTGCACTATGAAGTATGAAGGACTCACCTCTTCCAACCTCGGCGTGGTGTGTCTTTGACCTCCTGTGTAGAGCCCTCAGTACAGAGTCCAGCTCTTAGAGAAAACAGAAGACACAGTCTGTGGAAGAGAAAAATATAGGATTAAGTCTAAACATACTACAGCAGAGTAGCAGCCTGAGTCTACAGCCAAAACACAACTTATGTGTACATATATATATATATATATATAGAGAGAGAGAGAAATATATATATAAATAATGCAAGTGACATCAATTACAAATTTAACAGGGTAAAAATAAATAATCCCCAGATTCAAAGGGAATACATTACACAGTACGGAGAAGCAAAACTCCAAGCTCTCTCTTTGTTCAACCTTATATGTGGCTGTAATAAGCCTAGGGATGAGGTTACCGAAAAACACACACACACACACCCTGAAAGGACCCGTTTCACTGTTCCCACCTCACAACCTGGGCCCATATCCACAAAGCGTCTCAGAGGAGGAGTACTGATCTAGGATCAGTTTTGCCTTTTAGATTATAATGAATAAGAATATACAGTGAGGGATAAAAGTATCTGATCCCCTGCTGATTTTGTACGTTTGCCCACTGACAAAGAAAGTATCAGTCTATAATTTTAATGGTAGGTTTATTTGAACAGTGAGACAGAATAACAACAAAAAATCCAGAAAAACACATGTCAAAAATGTTATAAGTTGATTTGCATTTTAATGAGGGAAATAAGTATTTGACCCCCTCTCAATCAGAAAGATTTCTGGCTCCCAGGTGTCTTTTATACAGGTAACGAGCTGAGATTAGGAGCACACTCTTAAAGGGAGTGCTCCTAATCTCAGCTTGTTACCTGTATAAAAGACACCTGTCCACAGAAGCAATCAATCAATCAGATTCAAAACTCTCCACCATGGCCAAGACCAAAGAGCTCTCAAAGGATGTCAGGGACAAGATTGTAGACCTACACAAGGCTGGAATGGGCTACAAGACCATCGCCAAGCAGCTTGGTGAGAAGGTGACAACAGTTGGTGCGATTATTCGCAAATGGAAGAAACACAAAATAACTGTCAGTCTCCCTCGGCCTGGGGCTCCATGCAAGATCTCACCTCGTGGCGTTGCAATGATCATGAGAACGGTGAGGAATCAGCCCAGAACTACACGGGAGGATCTTGTCAATGATCTCAAGGCAGCTGGGACCATAGTCACCAAGAAAACAATTGGTAACACACTACGCCGTGAAGGACAGAAATCCTGCAGCGCCCGCAAGGTCCCCCTGCTCAAGAAAGCACATATACAGGGCCGTCTGAAGTTTGCCAATGAACATCTGAATGATTCAGAGGAGAACTGGGTGAAAGTGTTGTGGTCAGATGAGACCAAAATGGAGCTCTTCGGCATCAACTCAACTCGCCGTGTTTGGAGGAGGAGGAATTCTGCCTATGACCCCAAGAACACTGTCAAATCTTGGGTGAGAACCTCCTTCCCTCAGCTAGGGCATTGAAATGGGTCGTGGATGGGTATTCCTGCATGACAATGACCCAAAACACACGGTCAAGGCAACAAAGGAGTGGCTCAAGAAGAAGCACATTAAGGTCCTGGAGTGGCCTAGCCAGTCTCCAGACCTTCATCCCATAGAAAATCTGTGGTTCGAGTTGCCAAACGTCAGCCTCGAAACCTTAATGACTTGGAGAAGATCTGCAAAGAGGAGTGGGACAAAATCCCTCCTGAGATGTGTGCAAACCTGGTGGCCAACTACAAGAAACGTCTGACCTCTGTGATTGCCAACAAGGGTTTTGCCAACCAAGTACTAAGTCATGTTTTGCAGAAGGGGTCAAATACTTATTTCCCTCATTAAAATGCAAATCAATTTATAACATTTTTGACATGCGTTTTTCTGGATTTCTTTGTTGTTATTCTGTCTCGCACTGTTCAAATAAACCTACCATTAAAATTATAGATTGATCATTTCTTTGTCAGTGGGCAAACGTACAAAATCAACAGGGGATCAAATACTTTTTTCCCCTCACTGTATGGTCAGATCCTAGATCAGCACTCCTTCTAAGATTATTTGGTGGATACTGGCCCTGATCTGTCACAGTACTATCAGCAGTGCAATCAGAAACATCATCAGTTCACATTCACACCAGTCCAGAGAGCCAAATACCTTGAGTCCTACCTTCACCAACAGAAAATACCTGTATCCTTAATAAAACCCTCTTAAATGTTCCTCCTCCTCATTACCTTTATCTACCCTGACACAGCACAAACAGATATGGGACCAAGCTTAGCTACGTTTATTTGCAGAGGCAACATGAAACTTAAGAGAACTCCTAGAACTCAGGGAAAGTGTAACAGAAATCAGCAGGAATCTCAGGCCAGGGAAAGTGTAACAGAAATCCGCAGGAATCTCAGGCCAGGGAAAGTGTAACAGAAATCAGCAGGAATCTCAGGCCAGGGAAAGTGTAACAGAAATCAGCAGGAATCTCAGGCCAGGGAAAGTGTAACAGAAATCCGCAGGAATCTCAGGCCAGGGAAAGTATAAGAGAAATCAGCAGGAATCTCAGGCCAGGGAAAGTATAAGAGAAATCAGCAGGAATCTCAGGCCAGGGAAAGTATAAGAGAAATCAGCAGGAATCTCAGGCCAGGGAAAGTATAAGAGAAATCTGCAGGAATCTCAGGCCAGGGAAAGTGTAACAGAAATCAGCAGGAATCTCAGGCCAGGGAAAGTGTAACAGAAATCCGCAGGAATCTCAGGCTAGGGAAAGTGTAACAGAAATCAGCAGGAATCTCAGGCCAGGGAAAGTGTAACAGAAATCCGCAGGAACCTCAGGCCAGGGAAAGTATAACAGAAATCCGCAGGAACCTCAGGCCAGGGAAAGTGTAACAGAAATCAGCAGGAATCTCAGGCCAGGGAAAGTGCAGTAATAATATAATAACCTCAAAGGACTGGTGTTCTCTTTTATCACTGTCTGTGACGCCACAACACACCACGCTGCCCCAAGCCTACTAAATGTTATCCAATGGAATGTAGGCTATCACAACACAGAGAGGACATCTGGGGGGGGGGAATACAATGGAAGGAAGTGAGATGGGGTTACAGTTAGTTACTTAAAAAGGTAAACTCCACTTTTCAACCTCATTTTCATTATCTCCAGCATAATACCTGTGTCTACATATGTGAAAACGGCGCGTTTCAACGTTTTGCAGAAAAATATAAAGTTAAAAACAGTGACTTTCAAATACTGAGATCTGCAGTGTTGCGTTGGGAGCAAGAACATACCCTTCCTCTGGCTAGACACTTGTTGCAGGTTTTGAAAAGGTTTTCTTACTTTTAATCCTACCCTGTCAGAGAGAAGTGGTGGAATTGCCCTTTAAATGAGCTTGGCGTTTATGCATGCAAGGTGCATGATGATCATCTCTGCCCAGCAATAAGTTGTGCCATTAATCCATACACACATCATTGCATAAATCACATAGGTTATGAGAGAAAGTGAATCCTTATGATGGTGGTACTCTTTTGACTGGACACGTCTCAAGTATGAACTGAAGTCAGCATAGCATAGAGAACCCTTATTCAGCTACTGTAACGAGTTGCTGGCTGGCACACGATCCCCTCCATAATACTTGGGGAAAGTTAAGCAAAGCAATTTGATGACTGTAAAAAAGAAAAGTGATGATGGAAAATGTCGTCTGCATAACATTTCCTCGAAATCCGCTGAAAGCAGCACTATCCTCAAGAAATACTGGGCTAGACACAGCAGGAATTATACAGTCACCAGCAGCCCACTTAACAAGAGTTATCAGCCTACTTTACAGACCTTTATAACATTCAGTATCCGACAAATCACAATGCCCCCAAATTCAATATAGCCTAATAAACACCAAACTCTGTACAGGTTGAGAATCAAAAGTAACTTGCCCTTACAGAAGATCTTTCTTGTGAGAAGAAACGTAGACAAAGCTGAAGCCTACAACTCAGAAACAGGGTTGTACTTTGAGTCTTCAAGATGCTCTGACTGACAAGACTATCTTATCACAGCCTATCTTATAGTGTAGGGGGGGGGGGGGGGGGGGGGGGGGGGGTTGGGGGCACAACACAAACCATAGTGTAAGAAAACAGCCCTAACATTCTGTGGGAACTTAATTATAGAGTTCACTAAAGAGAATAAAGAGTCACTAAAGAGTGAGTCTCAGGTGATGTTATCAATCAACAGAGCATTTACTATATCAGGGAGACTCAGGAAACAGACTTGCGAAACACACACACAGTGGTGTAAAGTACTTAAGTAAAAATATCTGTGCTTTACTATTTATATTTTTGCCAATTTACTCCATACATTTTCCCTGACACCCAAAGGTACTCGTTACATTTTGATAGGAAAATGGTCCAATTCACACACTTATCAAGAGAGCACCACTGGTCATCCCTACTGCCTCTGATCTGGCGGACTCACTAAACACAAATTCTTCGTTTGTAAATTATGTCTGAGTGTCGGAGTGTGCCCCTGGCTATCCGCCAATAAATAAATAAAATTGTGCTGTCTGGTTTGCTTAATATAAGGAATTTGAA